CCCTAGTCAAGCAGTTCAAATCCTCTAGAAGCCTTCATATTGCAAGTCAAGATGTAAGCAACCAAAACTCACCTTCACACTGTCAAGTTCCTAGCAAATCAATGAGAAAATGAGACTTCTCATGCTTTGGAGCCACTCAATCAAGTCTGAAAAAGATACAGACGCTGGAGAGGTACTCGTGAAAAATAAAAAATAAAATAAGAGGTGCCAGAAGCATATTTTCCTACATTCATCCATTCTCCACCTGCAACATCCAACAACTATCGCCTCCTCATGCAATTCCTCATATCTTCTCATCTTTGAAATCTATCATTTCCCTTGTAAATCATAACCTCCTCATTGTCATCATTCTTCTCAGGCAAACTTGAGATGCTTTCCTGGAGCACCTGCATCATTGCTCATCAAAAAAAAAAAAAAAAAAAAACAAAAAAAAACAACAAACCCTCCGAGAGAGATGAATAAGCAGCAAGCACACTCATCAACTAAGCATTTGACAAATTCACATGGCATAAAACCAATCCACAAGCCAAGAAATTTCATTTCATTCAAGCATTTCAAGCAAATTGAAGAACTCATGCTCTTGCGACAAAACCATACAACATCACGCTCTCACAACAATATTGTCAAGATCATGCTTTGCAATGCCCAGATCAACACACAATGTCAAGAGAAAGGACATGTTAAATTCTCAAACAAAAGCAACATGCCAAACAAAACTTATACACAAGCTTTTCAACCATTCTAGCTGAAACATCCCACCTTTCGAAAATCATTGGAAATCAAGCTTACAACCAACAAATCACAAACTTTCCATATCAGAACTAGACATATTAAGCTTCATTTTCTCAAAATTTCATTGCATTTAGAGCTAGGGAAGCATGTCAAACAAATTCTCGAAATATGCCATGTAGCAGAAATTCCTTTAGTTATATAACATATTATCAGCACAAGTCTCTAACCACTTGAGTTAGCATAGTTTCGTCTCAAGTATGAAAGCTCTTGTTACATAGGCTTATCAAATGGAAAGAAGTACATCAACAAAACGAAGTTAAATGACAAGATTCCAAATAGATAACAATTGTTTTATTATATTTCTCATTTACATATGTAGTGCATGAGTTATGACGAATTTGTATTTTTATTATAGATATCTATCTTGTCTATCTACTCACAAAATTTCGACTGTATTTTGTTATTTGTCAGAAATCAAAGATTTTCATTCAAGAGCAAAGTAAGAGACTCAAGAATCTCAATTCTTATACAACTAATGGAGGACTAGAAGTTCCTCAGTTCTTATTCAATCATGTAAGGGCCAGAAGATCCTTATATTCCAATCCTTATAATATAAATATTTGTGGACTTGAAGTTCCCCAATTATTAAAAGCCAAATGAAGACCTGAAACTTTTTGATTCATTTTTCATTGGAACCAGAAGTTTCAACAATATATTCTCTTGCTATATTTTAATTTTTGTTGTATTTTATTTTTACTTAGTTATTTTCTTTGGTTTCATTTTTATTTTATGCAAGGACCCCAACTCCCTAAATTATTCTTATATAATTAAATAAAGACCTAAAGTCTCTTAGTTCTCAATCCTTATAATATCTAAACAAGGACTTGGAGTTATGCAATTCTCAAAAAGCAAATCAAGACTTGAAGTTCTTTGAAATTTCTTTAATTGGAACCAGAAGTTCCAACAATTTATTTTATTCCAATATTTTATTTTTATTTTTATTTTTTTGTTATATTCAATTTTTTGTTTTCATTTCAATAATTTACATTTAAGGACCTGAAGTTCCTAATATGAACCAAAGTTCAAAAATCTTAGAACCCAAAGTTGTAATTATGTATAATCTAAACTATAAGTTTCAGCCACATGTGCATTAAATTATGTAAATTATAGAACCTGAAGTTCTAATTGTGTCAACCTCCAAATTGATATTTTGAAAAGTGCATATGTATTATGATTTTGGGTTGAAAAATATACATCATATTACGAACCTGAAGTTTCGACATCATTTGGATTTCATTTTTTCTAATTTTTTTAAAATTATTATTGTTTTATTTTATTACCTTGAACAATATCATATTAATACAAATTTGGATTTGAAGTTCAAAACTAAATATTCTTTTTAAATTTGATATATGTACACGAAGCTGAACTTTCAGTTATAGGGGTCCAAGAGATTTGTGGTCACTCACCATTGGATGTAAATTCAACGGTTTACTCACTCTTACACTCCTTTTAATAAGCTTTTTGGAACAATTGGATTAATATCCAACAGTGGGTGACAACAATCTCTTTGACTCCTGTGGTCCAAGAGATCAGGATTGATGTTAATATATATCCAAAGTTCATAATTTTTATTGAGATTAATATTAATATGAACCCTCAGTTCATACCTTGTCAACAACCTGCAGTTCTGGCACAACATATAAAACATTTTAATTGAAGTGAAGTTCATAATCAAACTTTTTTTTTAATTATATCTTTATCATGTTTTCCGCAATAGAATCAATTTGTAACCAAATTCTAATTGGAACTTTCAAGTACCTTGGCTCTTAGTTTTTATTATTCTTATATTTAATTTAAACATGTAGTTCAACTCACAAGTATTAATTCATTTTAATTGGATCCACATACTTGAACCTGAAGGTTCAAATATATTATAATATGGACCAGAAGTTCATTACAATTTATGGATCTTTATTTTAATATAAATGTGAAGTTCATAATGTTTCATATATGAACCTGAAATTCATTGGATCTTTATGATTGCCAAAACGTGTAGTTTTATATATATAAAAAAATTATCAAGAACCCGAAGTTCTGTCCATTAGTTTTATGATTGCCAAAATATATGCAAAATGAATTTGTAAGTACTTGAACATAGAATTTAAAGCTTTATATGTTTGATATAACTATGAAAGAAATTACAATATCAAAGGGAACTTGAAGTTTCTTGGTTACACATGTCCATTCAAAAATGAACCAGAAGTTCAAGTCATTTTAAGAGTTTTAAGTAAAGCCTTTGAAAAGCTAAACTTTTAGAAATTGGGAGGAAATCAAGTTGAATCATAGTTACTCCAATCAACCCTTACAAAGACAATATATATATATATATATATAGGCGAAAATGTGGCAACATTTCTAGAATCCCAATATTTCCCTTTTCCAAAATTTAAACTTCACGATGTCTTCATTAAAAGTCTGTTGGCAGTTTAGGAGTTGTAAGGACAATTTTGTCAAACAAATATTATCCTTACAGATTTCACAGAGTCAATTTTTCAAATGTGTCTCGCGATTTGTATAAGTTTTTGTGATTAATTTGAAATTCATCATCTCACACTATTCCCCAATCTTATGTATATATATGTTACAACAATTTTTTTTTAATTTTTAGAACACATCTAATTTTCTTATTAAAAGATGAAATATCAAATTATTTTTTCTATTAGTGTACACTTGATGTGTTTGAGAAGCGAGATTATCTCTGATCATCTCTTTCAAAAGTGAGACTATTTATGATCATGCCTCCTGTGATAGCAAGGGACTCTTTACATTTCTCAAACTCTCATTGAGTGATTAAAATTCTAAAAATTGAAGAAAAAAAAGACCGATAACTTCTCTTTTTTAATGAAGAAAAGTTTAAGGGGAGGGGAGGCTACTCCATCCCAGAGCCCACCAAGAGGAAGTGATCTTAGGCCATCTCCAACCATGTTGAGGCTAAACTCAAATTTCCACCCTCTAAAATACAACTATTCATGTATTTTTAGGGCTCAATTTTTTTTTCCTCCAACCTTGCAGACTCATAATTTGAGTCCGCAACTTTATTAAATTGTTTAAGAATGATTAACCCCTAAATTTTTTTTTCTCAAGAAGTTTTCTAAACATTTTAACCTAAAAAAATTAAAATTCCAAAACATAATAGAATTTCACTTAAAAATAAAAACAAGTACAACAACATTTTATTTCATGGACTTTGAAAGTAAAAACAAGTAGCACACGATTTATATTAAAAATAATAGAACCACATGACATATTTGGTTAGTTGCAATGCGGTCACAACATCTACATCATCTCAATCTATAGCCCTTGGAGTTGCTACTTTTGCGTATACCCGGATGTGAAATTTTACAATTCAAATTGCCTAAAACTAATCCTGATCGTTGATGTGGATATTGACAGGACCCGACCTAAATTCCACTTTGGAATCCGAGCCAAACCCTGTGTGTAACAACCCGATCCTAAATCAATTTTTAATTATTAATTTATTCTGATAAAAGACTATTTTGCCCTGTAATATTTTTATTAGTATCAAAGTTGACTTTTTGACCAGGAAGGAATTTGGAAATTCAGACTATATTGTTGCATAGATTGCGTCGAAACTAGTCCGTAGACACGTAGTGGGCCCGAATTCGAGTTTTATCGAGAAAGATACGATTAAAATACTAAAAAGGGCAAAATCGTAATTTAGCAAAAATCAGATTTCTCTCTCTCTCTCTCTCTCTCTCTCTCTCTCTCGACGGCTTCTCTCACGCAACACAGCCCGGCCACGTTTGGCTAGCTTCCAGGTAGGTTGTGGGACCGATTGGAAAATGACCAGCGTCAGCCAGCGAACCTGTCTGGGTTGGAGCCCCGCAGCCTCAGACCGCCACGTCGCCTTCATGAACCAAAGAAGACCGGTTCTACTTCAAACTTTCAGACGCTGTTTTCGGCAGCTCCGGCGATGGAATCCATCAATCCAGGTATGGTTTCTCACCTACTCTACGAGCTCTAGTTGATGGTTGGGTAGGATTTGATCAATTTCTAGCCTAGATAATTTGATGTGTAACTTAGGTTTTGGTCAGTTTTCCAAGTGAATTTCCGGCCACTTGCCGTTTGAATTGGATGTTGCCGCAGTTGAGTAAAGTGTTCCACACGTCGAGTAGTAGTTATAGCTGGAAGGGTAGCCCTTGGTTTTGAGATTTTTTGGCCGCCGGTATCACTTAGGCACACACATGCTGCCGGCGCATGCGGTGGAGCGTGGTCCTCACAAGCGTGTAGGTGCTTTCGGATTTCAATTCGGACAACTTTTGAACCCTGAATGGATCTCGCATATTGTGCGATTTTCAGGTTTGATATGTTTGAACTGTTGGATCATAGTCAATTTCATATATGTAGATCTAGGTAATTTCAGGATCTTATAGGATTCGACAGATCGTAAAACGGTGTCCCGGATACTCTGGAAATGCCAACCCTAGGGCTAGGTCCATAGTAATTGTCCGATCATGCGATCGTGAGTAATCCGACCATCCGATGGAGACCAAACTTTTGGGACATGTGTCCTAGGAATATTGGAACCTTTATGGACTCCCGAATTAGTGATTGGAGGTCATGGGCCCCTTGGGAAGGTTGACCAAGTTTAGGCGGTTTGACCCCTCGGTTGACCGTGAGTCTTCCGAGGCAGTTATATCCTTTGAGAAGCATTAAAATGACCATGTAAACGTGTCCTAATCGAGAATGAGTTATCTGAGTCATGTTGCAGATTGAGCATAGATAGGTATTTATAGATTGCTAATGTACCCGGTAGCTGAAGATAATGAATCATGGCCCTTGGTTTGTGGCATATACATTTTAAGTATAGTTGAGAATCAATTTATCAGATAGTTGATATAAAGGTCGGGAAATTAATTGTGAAATAAAGGGAAAGTATTGATATAAGTTTGGGATATAGTTTTTCAAACCCACCACGAGAGTACCCCCTTGTTGCTTTGAAACAGTGTCATTTATAAATAATGCCCTACGTGTTTTGGGAACCCCTAAACCGTGCGGAGCGAGGAATGCGGCTCAGGCTGGCCAACGGTCCCCTGAGGCGTATGAGGATTGTGGCTAGAATAGAAGTGGTATCTCTGAGACCTGCGAGGATTGTAGCTCGGATAGAAGTGGTATCTCCGAGACTTGCGAGGATTGCAGCTCGAGTAAACTTGGTGTCTTCGAGGCCAGCGGGGATGTGGTTGACGGTATTAATGGAATTGACGGGTCAGGAATGGGGGTACGCCTAGGTGGAGAGAATTTCAGTTATAAGATGTTCTTAAACTAAAATAGGGGGAGCTCAGTGTATGGCATATTTATATTCAGTATATGACTAATATGAGTATTAGGAAGAACTATGTGTGGCTTGATCCCTCACTAAGGGTACATAGGCAGCCTAATGTTACAAGGTGCAGCCACGAGTTGGAGTGTTTGAGATTGCTAAATGTACTATTGATGTTCTGAAAGTTGAGATGAATTTTATTAGCAGAATGGCTTATTTAATTTGTTGAGGCCTGAGGCCAGAATGATATGATCCTTGATTGCTTGAATATAATTTAGTGCATGCTGAACGATTGAGATATATAAATGTTTGTTGATAGGTGGAAACTTTTGGGAAACAAGAAAATTACAGGGGAGACTCTGCCGAATTTTCGGTAGAAGTCTAGCTGATAGATAAAGTGGTTTCTACTTAGAAAGGCAATTTCATCATTTGTGCCCTGCAAAATTGTAATTTCACAATTCAATAAATTAAATAGATTAAATATATGGTCAAAATTGGGTCGGGTGTCACATTTTTTTCCTTCGTCTTTTCTTCTTTTTTTGTGCTAATGCAGCATGGCCCTGGGTTGGAGCAAGTAGACAAGATGGGCCTCGTGCGCTACACTGGCCAGGGTTGCACTAGATTGGCGTTGGGCTTGACTAGCTGGGCCTTGTCTGCTGCACGAGCATGGCTTTGTGCTTGCTACTCCATGCAGCTTAGGCTGCTTCTACCTAGGCTGTGGGCTTGGGCCTTTTTTATTTATTTATTTTTGCTACCAACTTTTTTTATTTCTTTTTGGTATTCTAACTTGTAGAATTTTCTTCTCATCTTGCAGCTGTTTGTTGATCATGTCTTCTGAAGATGGTAGCTAGTCACCAAGTTCTCAAGTGCCTTTGTATCGTGGGGAGGCTCCCCAGCTCAATTCAAGAAGTGGCAGGCTCCTTATGCTTCTGCCATTCCTGATGATGTGCATGTCAAGCTAATGAAGCCTTTGACTCATGATGTGCCTTATGTGGATGCAAATGATCTAGATGCTAGGATCGTCACCTTCCGTCCGTTTTATTTTTCCTTGGGCTTCACTTTCTAGCTGTCAAAGCTTTTTAAGGAGATGTTCTACGCCATGTAGTGTGCTCTGAGTCAGTGCACCCCAAATGTCTGTCAAGCGATCATGTGCTTTGAGAATCCGAGCCATTTCTTTAAGCTGGAGTTGACAATGAGAGAGTTCTTCTACTTCTTCCAAGTGAAGCACTACGAGATCATGTATGGCACGATGATGTGTTGGAAGTCAGCGGATGGTGGGAAGGCGATGTTGGTGATGGTCCACTTGTTCCCATCACCTACTGCAACGGTACGTCATATTGTTGTTTGGATCTGTTTCCTTATTATTTGAATTTCTTGAAGTGTGACTAACTAACTTCTGTCTTCTGCTTGCAGTGAATGACATTTGCAAGAGGTTGGAACTTGGGCTAGACATGTCTTAAGGTCGGCTGACTGATGAACATCCCCAGGAGGTTTCGCAAGTGGCTCTAGCTGTTGAGCGAGTATTGGGATGAGGTAGGCAATTGCCCCTGCCCATGATGTCAAGAGATGGAAGCAGAATGGTCCATATCCTAATGATCTGCCTACAGGATAGGAGAAGTGTTCTATTAAACCCCCTAAAAAAAGAAGGCTGATGTCAAGTCCTCAAGAAATAAAGATGCTTCTTCGTGGGCGAAGAATGTTTCTTTGTTGAGGAAGAAGCCAAAGCTCCCTTCTACTGAGAAGACACAAGTAGGAGTTGTTTCCCCGTCACCTGCTAGGGTTAAATATCTCGTTGGTGTAGATAGCAAGAAGATTGGCTGTATGCGCAATATTCGGAATGTTCCACTCAAGACTCATGCTGACAAGTTTAGAGACCGTGATCTATTGAAAGGAAAAAAGATGCTGATATTCCTGTTTGAAGTTCGAGTCATCTGCACCCGTCAAAGGATGGAGATCGAATTGGGAGGTTTGCTCATCCATCCAACCATCATGATCTAGCTGTTGAGTCACGAGCAGTCATGCGTGGAGTTGATTTATCATCATTGACTCTTTTGGAGGTGAGGTTGGACGCAACTAAGAAGGCAAGAGAGTCATCTGCCCAGGCGAAAGGTTCTTATGGAATGCCAATGACTGGTCCCAAGGTGGACAAGTCCAGTCCTGCAGGGGATATAGGCGTGTCTAATCTGCTCAAGATGACCTTTCTGTTAAGCCGTCCACTTGTGTTAAGCTAGTTGATCATATCCATCTGGCCGACAATCTTGATACCTTCTTAAGTCTTTCCTTAGAAAAACAAAGTGAAGCAACATTTCATCTGCTTCAAAAAGGAGTAGTTTTTGCTACTGAGACTATCTGGAACTTGTCTATTGTTACCCCCTCTTCTGCTAAGCTCAGCGAGTTGGAGAAGAAGAATGCTGACTTGACTAGCAAGCTCTCTGTCGGGCAGATTCGTTATGAGAAGAAGACGTCTGAATTGAGGGCGATGATATATGAGCTAAAGAGTTCCCTTGCTGAGAAGAATGGTGAACTTAGCTCTTCTACTCCTAACTTGGTTAGTCGAAAAGATGCCTACTTCTGTCTTGAGCACAAGAATGCTGACATCTTCCTCAATTATGACAAGCTTCTGGCTAGATTTAGCGCCTATCACAAGTTTACTAAAAAATCCAAGTTTGAAGATATCACGAATGCGTACAAGTTGGGCTACTTGGACTGCACAAATGGGTCTGCTCCCTTCTATGCCATTGGAGATAAAGACATTGAGATGCTCTGCTCTAACTTGCTCCCTGTTCAAAGTGAGTAGGCCAATGCTGCGAACATGGAAGGAGCTTAAGAGCAGGCGGTCGAAGAGGCAATAAAAAAGGATGGAGCAGAGGAGGACGCAACTGATGAGATGGTGGAAGATGTCTCGGAGCAGACAGGTGGAGCTGCTAAAAGCGTGGCTGATCATGTGGATGCCGAAGAGGCTGCAGATTAAGGGTCTCCTGCTGGCGTCTCGGAGTAAATAAAGACTCATTTATTTCTTTTCAACTTTTTTTGTCTGCTTTCTTATTTAGAATAATTGGTCTTGTTTGACCATCTTCTTTTTGTTGAACTTAGCCGGTTGGTCATTTTTCTATGAAAATTTCAGTTATTTTTTCAACTTCAATTTCCCTTGTGCACTGCTTGAGAAACTAGCTAGTGTCGTGGTTGTGCATCTCCTTTAGGATGTTGAATGTTTACCCACCGCTTGCTTGAATGGTGCTCTTTTGCTCCTTCTTCAGGATGCTTTGGTTGTCATACTAACTAACAGGAACCTGGTTCCCCCTTAAGGGACTCTGGGTGAGTTCTACGTCTCCCGAATGATGCTTTTGGTCGTCGCCTTGCATCTCCCGAAGGACACTACTTATGGGCAACTGTATGACTATCATGACTCCCTTGGGAAACATATAGGAACCTGGATCTCCCTTAGAAAATTCCTTGGATCTCCCTTACGAAATTCCTAACACGCCCTGCGTCTCCCGAATGACGCTTCTTGTGGGTTGCCTGCCCCGAAGGATGTTGTGTGACCATCCTACCTCCCTCAGGAAACGGATAGGAACCTGGATCTCCCTTAGGAAATTCCTAGCGCACCCTACGTCTCCTGAATGACGCTTCTTGCTAACTGTGTCTTCTAAAGGATACTTTTGGTTGCCTTGCGTCTCCCTTGCGTCTCCCTTATGGGGACTGTCCTTTTGGGTCTTTTTTTTTTTTTTTTTTTTTTTTTTTTTTTTTTTTTTTTTTTTTTTTGCACATTCTAGATATGAGAAACTGAACTTGCATTGATGTTCATAAGATAACATTGCTTTATTTGAAATGAAAATAATTGAATAAAGAACCTGAAATTTCCCGCAGTTGCTTCTCTTCTTCAGAAATGTGCATAGCTCAGTCATCTGCTTGGAACTGAGCAGGTAGGAGGAAGTGTCATGGATAATATCTTTGGAGGTAGCAAGCATTCCATTGTCATGGAACCTCCTTCCCTTCTATGGTGTCAAGTGTATAGCTTTTTCTGCTGCAAGACTGGCGAATCACATAAGGGCCTTCCCAATTGGGTTTCATCTTCTTTGATCATTGCCTTTGTGCAGTGATGAGGAGTATTTTTTAGGACAAGGTTGCCCAGATGAAATTGTCTGACCTTAGTCTTTTTGTCGTAGTAAGACTTCAACTGCTACTGGTAGAGGCCACTTGGACAATGGCTCTCTCGCATTCTCCTTCGAGTAGGTCAAGGTTTAGCTTCATTTGTTCAGAGTTTTGATCGACACTGCCAACCTCGGTGCTTATGGAAGGGACAGTGATGTGAGGAGGAATGATTGCTTCTATCCCATAGGCGAGGGAAAATGGGGTTTCGCCAGTTGATCTTCACTTGGTGGTTCGATAAGCCTATTGTACTCTAGGGAACTCATCTATCCATTTCCATTCGGCGCCTTTTAATCTTTTCTTTAGGCAGTCTAATATAATTTTGTTGGATGCCTCAGTTTGGCCATTGCCTTGCGGATACCTCGGGGTGGACATGTGTTGCTTAATCTTATATTTTGCAAAGAAGACAGCGATCTGCTTGCTAATGAATTGTGAACCATTGTTGGTAACCAGCAATTGTGGGCAGCCAAACTAGTAGATAATGTTTCTCTAGACAAATCGTTCCACATTAACTTCTTTAGTAGATGATAGAGCTTCAGCCTCAATCCATGTAGTACAGTAATTAGCGGCGATGATCATCATGTCCTTCTTAAAGGGTACTGGCGGTAGGTGACCCACTAGATCAATGGCCCATTGCATGAATGGACATGGATTGTTCTGTGGATGGTAGACTTCGACATGCATGTTAGGAACTAGTTTGTACTGTTGGCAATGATCACATCTTTTGACATATTCAGTGGAGTCGTGACACATGGTAGGCCAGAAATAGCCTATGTGTAGAGCCTTCTGGGAGAGTGGTCACCGTCATGAATTTTGCAAAGGATCTCAACTGTTTGAGGGTATTTTATGCAGGTGAGATGAGGTCGGAGATGAAGGCCGGAGCTTGTTGTCTTGCATGTAGTATTTGCGGCCTTTTATGGGACCTTCCTAGCTTTAAACTTGTCTGTTGGCAAATTTCCATTTACCAAGTAGTCAATGATGGGGTCTTGCCAGTTGAGGTCTTCATCAATCTGCATTGTGTTGACTGACTCTACTTCTTCAATGCCTGGTCGAGATGGAGTGTTTGAACTAGGTATCCAATGCTGATCCTAGGCTTGCCAGTGTATCCGCATGAGTGTTCTCCGCCTAGGGAACTTGTTGGATGGTGAAAGTGGGGAATTCTTTTGAAAGTCCTTGGACTTTATCGAGGTACTGGATCATTCTTGGATGTTTTACCATGTACTCGCTTGAAGCTTGATTCATGATCAACTGGGAGTCTGAGTAGATGGCCAATCTTTTGATTGATAGTTCTTCGTTGTTTGAAGATGGAAAGCCCAGTGTGATGGCTTGTTCCAAAAAAGTTCCGTCTAGGGTGATTATGAGAACACCTGCCCCTGCTCACTTGTGATTTAACGTTCCGTCTACTCGCAACTGTCACATGTTGTTAGGTAGGTATGGATAAGCAAGGAAGGTGTCATGTGCTCTCGAATTTTCCTTGTTTTTCGTGACTAACTTCTCTTCTTCAGTTGTCAGAGTAAACTCTACAACAAAATCTATTAAAGCCTAAGCTTTTATGGCAGCCTTTACCTCGTAGAGGAGGTTGGATTGACTGAGTTTGAATCTAGGTGAAACAATAGCTAAAAAAAGGTATGGAGATTTCTCTAGGGTGAGAACCAGGTGGCCGGAGCCGTGTGGAGAAAATATAGAGAGAAGAGAGTGGAGAGGGCGGCGGCTATAGTGTTGCCGTCGGCTAGGAAGAGAGAGGGAGAGAGCTTGGGTATTTTTCTAGGGTTTTTGAAGTAGCTTGAATGATGAATGAAACCATCTATTTATAAGAGTTTCGAAAGCTAGGGTTTCGTAAAGAATAAAACTCTTATTAGGAAGGAGTTTATTCTTTCCCCAAATTGCAGAGATTGAGTCCATTAGAGATTTGATTGAGATTCAAATCTCCTAATTTGATGATGATAATATCTCCTTATTAGGATAATATCTTAATTATGTGATATTATCGTTATTTAATAAGATAATACCACTAATTTAGATATTATCTCAATTTCTGGTATTAATTAATTGGCCAAATAAATTAGCTCAATTAATTCATCTTAGAGATATTCTTCTTTTCCACATGGCATGTTGTGATTGGAGACGAAAATATTTTCTCCCACACTCCACATAGATTTTGATTGAATTTGTGTATAGATTTTCACTGAGTTTGTTAGAATGTTATTATTGATTTTAATGGAGTTTATAGTGAATGTGATGGTGGAGGTGGTGGTGGTGGCAGTGACGGTGATCGGGATGACAGTGGTAATGGTGATAGTGGCGGTTATGGTGGGGCTGGTAGTGGAGGTGATGGCGATTGGTGGTGGTGGTGGTTGTGTTGGGGGGTGGCGGTGGTGGTGGCAGTGACAACGATAACTATGGTGGTGGTGGCGACGGCAATGGTGATAGTCATGATAAGATGGTGGTAGTAGAAGTGGTGAAATCATATCTTGAGTATAAAAATAATATATTTATCAAAATATATGGGGGAAAACAAAAATTTGTCATGGCCTAAAATAGGCTATTATCAAACGAAATCTGTTAATTTTTGTATTTCCTTTAAAATCAATGAGTTTTTGAATACACCAAAATTTTTATCATGTCTTTTAAAGTCGAGATTGAATACATCCAAATTTGAATGGAGTTTAAAAAGTCTGAATTGAATAGGCTCTTATAAAATCGTGATTGAATACACTTATAGTGCATTTGGATGAGGAAATTTAAAAGTACAAAGGATTTCATAAATGACGGAATTTAAAATGACGAAAATTAATGTTCTAGAATTTGTAAAGTTTCTTGTTTGGGTGACTGATTTAAAACACGGAATTTAACCTTTAATTGTAAAGTTATCTTTTTTTAAAACTCAATCTCTCTTGGGACTTTAGAAATGACGACTTTTAGATAGAATTTAAACTTTGGATTTATGATATCCAAATTCGATGTTTTTTTCCACACGGAATTTCCAAATTTCTATGTTTTTTTATCAAAACACCGGAATTAGTTCATGTCAATTTAGAAATTCTGAGTTTTGTCAAGATCCCAAGTTTATTTCTCTCATCCAAACGCACCATTAAACTTTTAAACTTCTTTAAAATCTTTTAAGATCTAAACTGAATACGCCTTTGTAAAATCCTAAGAGCATTTCCAGCAGTTAGCCCCTTCACATGGCAAGGGGAGCCTTAGGGCAGCTGCTATTCACGTGAATAGTGGCTGCCCTAGCTACCCCTAGGCAAAGTGTGTTTCCAGCAGTTTAGGCTTGCCATGACAAATACTATTCATTTTTTTGTTTTTTTTTCACAACTTTGTTTACTTAAACAATTAATTTGGATAATATTTTCGGATAAGATTTTTGGGTTCCTACGTGTCAATACTATTCATATCGGATAAGATTTTCGATTTCAAAATTCAAATTTCAGATAAATTTCAAATGTCAAATTTCAGATACATTTCGAAATTCAAATTTCAGATAAATTTCAAATTTCAAATAAGATTTTCACCCTCTAAGATTACGCCACGTGTCATATCTATCTGCCTAAATTTTTCTATAAAACTAGAGGCTCAGCTCATACCTCCCACACCATATCTTCTCTACATTTCCATTTCTCATATTTTAGATTTCATTCTCCATTCCCCATTCTCAATGGCAGACATGCAAGAGGTTTTGGAGAGGCAAGAGGGAGAAACTAGAGAAAGAATGCGTAGACGAGCTGCAAGTAAAAGGGCGCAGAGAGAACTAGATGAGCAACTTGGCATAGCCGTTGCTATGCTGGAGAAAGAAAACCAGAGCCGCCGTCGTTTACGAGAAGGCCGTGGCCCGAATGTGGACAGACATAGACATTCTCGGGGTAATAATCTTATAGAAGATTATTTTATCCCACATTCTCTGTACTCTGATGTTCATTTTCGAGCGAGATATAGATTGCAAGAAACATTTAAATAAAAATTAATGTGCCATAGAAATTAATAAAACGAAAATTACAAATAATTTGCCTCATTGCTAAGGTTTTCCCCGCTTCTATGGTTGTCCATCGCTTTTGCCAAGGCATCTCTCCATTTCACCAACTCTTTATTAAGAATTTTCCACCTACTAGATAAAGTCATTTCCGTACGGATTGAACCAATTACCCTTTCACAAAAATCCTAATGAATTTTTTTCCACATATGACATAATTTCATCTCATTGCCCGTTACGGGACAATGACTAATTTGGACCCAAGACTCAAACAAGCTAACATCTTCCATCATGCTCCATGCCCCTCCGGTTTCACTAGAAGAACCCATAATATGATAGAGAAAAATACAACTTGAAAGTTAAAAAAATATTGAGTAGAAAGTGAATAATAGTAGAAGGAGAAGAAAATGTATGAGGATTTAGTGTTAAAAGTGAAGAGTATTGGTTGGTATTTATAGAAAATAAATTCAGTATTTTTTGGGTTTTTTTTAAAATTTTTTAATTGGGAAAAAATTGACTGCCGTTTGATTGGAGCAAAAATTATGATTGGAGAGCCCAGGACGCGACACGTGGCACATATCCGTCGGCGGACACATGCACGCGCTAACGTTAAAAAAATTTTGAGAGCCCGCGCTGACGTTAGCTCAGCCCGCAGGCTAGAGCTCGGGCCAGCCTTCCCCTCGGGCCAGCCCAGTTCACTGGGCCCCACTCCTTGCCTGGGCCAAATTTTGTTTCTGGAAACACCATTTTGGGCTTGCCCCCCCCAGCCCTCCCCTTGGTCCCTTGCTGGAAGTGCTCTAACCGAATACACCACCAAATAGGACATAGCAGACTCGAAGGGCGTCACTCTCTCTCTAAACCCGCCTTTCCATTTCATTCAAACGCCTTTCCATTTCATTCAAACGCCTTTCCAAAAACGCTAACTAACAGTCTCTCTCTAAAGTGTAAAGCTACCGCCATTCTTTCCTACTTCTTGAAATCGAACTCTCGCTTTATCTCTCTGCAATGGAAGACGAAGATCCCGTGAAGCTCTATATGAACCTCGATAACTGGCAAGGCCCTCTAACAGAGCCAGACGAATTTCGTCCCTCCTCGGAAGACTATCAGTCTCTCTCTTCTTCCTCCGATACCCGCTTGCTTGGCTTCGTCATCGCCGACATAGTTGGAATTCAATGGTATTTAGGCACCATCAGTGGCCAAGAAATGGTGGTTCTTGTCCGCGAACCCCTTAATTTTCAAGATTCCAACGCCATCAAAGTCTTCAATACCACCACCGTTCAAGTGGGTCACATTGAACGCCGCGTGGCGGCCGCACTAGCGCCGTTGATTGACTCGAGTTTGATTGCGGTGGAGGGCATTGTTCTCAATACGCGAGCTGAGGGCAATGGGCCCAAGATTACTTGCCAAGTTAACATCTTTGCAAGATTTGAAGATTTTACCTCTGTGAAGTCGGCAATTTCGCAATCTGGGTTACATTTGGTGGTCAAGGAGAAGAAGGCGGAGAGGGCAGGCAAGAGCGTGGATGAGATTTTCAAGTTGGTGGATGAGAGTGCGAACAAGAATGGTGTTTTGAAAGCATTGGAACCCCCAGCAGAAGTGATCAAAACGGAGCTTTTTGTGCACCAAAAAGAAGGGTTGGGATGGTTGGTTCATAGAGAGAGGTCTGATGAGCTGCCTCCTTTTTGGGAAGAGAAAGGTGGGTCTTTTGTGAATGCGTTGACCCATTTCAGCACCCATAAGCGACCGGAGCCTCTAAGAGGTGGGATTTTCGCCGACGAGATGGGATTGGGTAAGACCTTAACTTTGCTTTCTTTGATTGCGTTTGATAAATATGGTAGTGGCATTGTTGATGTAAGCATGCTAGATGATAACGAAATGGGTGAGGATAAGGGGTTGTCTTCTTCTGTTGGTAAGAAGGGCAAGAGAGGTAGACCAAGTGAAAAAAGCACGGGCTTGCGAAAACAACATAAAACTGAGAATACCATTGTGGAAGGCAAATGTGTGAGTGCAAATGATAAGTCTTCGCATGATATCAGTAGGACGACATTAATTGTGTGCCCTTCTTCTGTACTTTCAACTTGGCAAACACAGTTTGAAGAACACACTAGGTTGAATTGGTGCAAGTATTATGGCCTACGTACTAAAGATGCTGAGGAGCTTAAGAAGTATGATATAGTGTTGACTACATACGGTGTTTTGTCTAGTGAATATCCTTCCAGAACATCCCCTGTAGACCAGATTGAGTGGTGGCGGGTGATTTTGGATGAGGCACAGATGATTAAGAATGAGAATGCTCAACAAAGTGAAGCTGTCACCAAGTTGAAGGCTAAGAGAAGGTGGGCTGTTACGGGAACACCAATCCAGAATGGCTCTTTTGATTTGTTTTCTTTGATGGCTTTCTTGCGGTTTGAGCCTTTTTCAATTAAGAGCTGCTGGCAAAGCTTGGTGCAGCGCCCACTTGCTGATGGCAACCCAAAGGGGCTCTCACGGCTGCAGGTAATACCATGTTGTTTTTCTTTCTATTTGTTTTATTTTATTTATGTACTATAACCATATTTTTATGCACGCAACCAAAGTTTGCAGCAGATGCAAACCAAAGTTTCCATATTTTTCTCCTTTTATGGTTTGCTGATTTGCATGGTTATGATTGTTCTTTCTCTATTATACTGCAATTGCTTGTTGTCGTACAAAATTGGAAAAGAATAGAATAGTTTCTTTAAAAGTTTCAGAATGATTCTTATGTTATTATTATAATTTTTTTTTTAAAAGAGAAGTTTACCATACAAGAAGGTGGACAAGTAATCCACCAATAACAGGAAGAAACAGTAAAACGAGTACATAGATCTCCAATAATGAGAAAAACAATCCTAATCAAGACACTGCAGCCTTCCAATCAAGCAAAATAGGAGAAACTGAAGCCTATAGCACTGCCCAATACTTTGCCTTTTCCCACACCTCCTCCACATCCGCCCCCTTGACGTCTTCAAAAATCCGTTGATTTCTTTCCCACCATATGGCCCAGACAATACCCAACACCAGACAGCCCTAGATTGATTTAGCCTTTTTGCCACCAGAAGGATTCTTACGTTATTTATGTTGACTTATCCACTCATGATAAAGAACTGAGATGGAAGTGTATTTAAAGTGTGCCTCCTGCTATTTTCTTTTCTTCTTTTCATGTAAGAAGACCTATAGGATTGACATCAACCGGTGTTACTTGTTTTATTGGGCACCTGAACTATAGTATCTCAATAACTCATGAAATCAAACTTCCCTAGACTGCCCACCCTCCTCCCTCCGTCACTTTTGTGGTTAGCATCTGGAGGACAACAAATTGTTATTCTCTGAAATAAGTATTTATCTGATAGGAAAGAGATGATTAAAGACATGGTTGATCCATGACTTGCTATCAAAGGCCTTAACAGTGACTGGATCATGTAAACATCTTAGATGCTCCATAAGTGCTAAGACTTCCCATATTATAGGAAATTGCCTATTTCAGAACTTGAACCGCATGTAGTACATGAATTCGAATTACTAAACCATCCTTTATTTCGAATTGGCTTCTCTAACTGATGATATCTGAAGGAGAGTGGTGTTGACTGGTTCCTGTTTGTGGGTTCAAAAGTGGGTTCGGACTTAGATTGAACTGTTGATTTGGTTCAGAGTTCAGAGAGGATGGGAATGAGGGTGCGTGAGGTCGACGTGGGCGGGGTTGGGTTGCGGGGAGGGCACTGGTTTGCGGAAGGAGGTTGGCTGGGCTGTGTATTCGTGTCTGTAAGTTTTTTAAGTTTTTAGAATTTCCAAAATATTAAAAGCAATAATTCGTTATTTTTTTGGTCCGCGTGGATTACATGTTAGCAAATAAGTGCACCTTACTCATGCCACATGAGAGAGAAGAATGGAGAAGAAGGGCCGAGAGAAAGAAAAAAAGGAGAGAAAAAGGAAAAGGAGAAAAGGGGCCTTTTTTCCTTCTCATGTTTTTTATTTGATATAAAGTGTATATTACTATTAAGATTATAAATAAATTGTAAATGTATTGTAAAACAACATAAATATCATTTTTTTTTTAAAAAAAAAAAAAAAAAAAAAAAAAAAAAATAAATCAATTTCAATATCATACCCTTTATGGTCATTATACCCTGTCAGCACTTCTAGAAAAAAGTTTACCAAACCCTATGACACTGCTTTTTATACTCGCTGCACTTTTACAAATATAGATTACCAAACACTTCACTGCTTCATTTCACAGCTGTTTATTCTCACAGGACAGCAGAAGCAGTTTTTTTTTAAGCACAGCAATACCAAACTAGCCCTTAACAGATTGGTGGACACACTTGACAGTCGTGGGTGAAGTGAGAAAAAAAGACCAAGTTCAGGGCCACATTTGATTTGATTCAGAATTTCGGGGAAAAACAAAAATGAAGCCTTTATCAAATGGTTATCCTAAAATTGAAGGAGACTGAATAATATTTATCATGGTTTTTTTTTCTTTCTTTCTTGCAAAGAACAAGTTGTGCCTAATGTGTATACTGATATCTCAGGTTTTAATGGCAACCATCTCTTTGCGAAGAACAAAGGACAAGTTACGGATTGGATTGCCATCTAAAACTGTAGACATTTGTTACGTGGAACTCTCTGCTGAAGAACGTAAACTGTATGATGAGATGGAAGAAGAAGCAAAGAGTGTTGTGCGGAATTACACTAGTGCTGATAGTGTAATGCGCAAATATTCTACTGTTCTTAGCATAATCTTACAACTTCGCCAGATCTGTACTGATTCAGCCTTGTGCCCTTCTGGTCTCAAATCACTTCATATTGAAGGTATTGCCAAGGCTGTCATATTGGTGCATCATTTTTGTTTTGTTATGCAACTTCACTTCACATGCATACTTATCTGGGTGCCATGAAACTCTTCAACTATTTTAGCTTACAGTTCTCTCAATTGTAAACTTTTTTTTTTTCATGAGTAAAGATAATTCTTGATGAAGTCATTGTACCATTATGCTTGGATTCTTGGATTCACATATTGTTCTTTTTAATTGCATTTTTCAATTCACATATTGTTCAGTACTTATATAATCGCTGGGCCCAAATTGGTAGCTGTGTATAATGTATTCCATGCAGAAAATTGTTTGTACATTCTTACTATGCTCTCTACTTCATTTGAGTTAAAGAAAAGATTACAGAATTCTGAAAAACAATCGCAAGTTAACAAATGATGACCCTTAATTGTTTTCTTTTGCGAACGGGAACAACAATTTAGGTTGGTGGGAGTATTAAGATTAGTAAAAGCATGCTGCCTAGAGTTATGCTTCTCGGGGTCTACACATCAACATATAAAGGAGTACTGATATTTGATCAAACATCTAAAATGTTCTAGAATGTGTGTGTGCTTCATAAAACAAGGTTAGAAGAATTATGTTATTTCGTATACTGTATTAACTGTTTAATATATTTGCATTTTAAATGAATTCAGTATTCCCGCCTGCAATACTCTCCAACTGTTTCCCTGTCAATGATTTTGTTATTCATTCTTGATACATCCATGGAATCAGTAGTATGCAATAGAAGCTGTTTGGATTGTATTAATCATTGCATCATAGTTGTTTGTTACTGAGTTTCACTTCCATCTCCATTACTTAAACTAGTTTCTGCCCTACTCTGCTGTCTGGGAATGATATTCAATTCATTATTACATTTACTAGTACTGTGTGCTGCTGCTTCTCAATTTTAATGTGACAGATAGGGCTCATATATGTTTTCAGTTGATGTTATTCCACGGATTTTATACTTAATTGCAAACCCTCCTTTGTGTGGTATGTTTATTCTGTACTTATGAAGTCTATTCTAAGCAGATGTAACCAAGAACCCAGAGCTGCTAAAAAAAATGCTTGAGTTGCTGCAAGATGGTGAAGATTTGGACTGTCCGATTTGCATTGATCCACCAATTGATGTTGTGATCACTTCTTGTGCTCACATTTTTTGCAAAGCTTGTATTCTGAAAAGCTTTGTGCGCACAAAAAGTCGCAGCTGCCCCCTTTGTCGGGGTACTGTATCAGAGTCTGAACTGTACTCAGCCCCCCAAACACCTTCTGAAAGTGGCAACATGGTATCCTCTAAAACAAATGCGTCTTCAAAAGGATCTTCTCTGTTGAATCTTCTCGTTGCATCAAGGGATCAAAACCCACTTACGAAATCAGTAGTGTTTTCCCAATTTCCAAAGATGCTGATATATCTTGAAGAACACCTAAATGCAGTTGGTTTTAAGACTTTGCGCTTAGATAGCTCTATGGGTGCAGATAGAAGGGCTCGAGTAATCAGAGGCTTTAGGGTCACGGGACAAGATGTGCCCACAATTTTGCTTGCAAGTCTTAGGGCTTCAGGAATGGGTATAAACCTCACAGCTGCAAGTAGAGTGTATTTGTTGGACCCATGGTGGAACCCAGCAGTTGAGGAACAGGCAATGGATCGTGTTCACCGTATTGGGCAGAAGGAGGATGTGAAGATTGTCAGGTTGATTGCTCGAAACAGCATTGAAGAGAGGATTTTAAAGTTGCAGGAGAAAAAGAAGAAACTTGAAAATGAATCTTTGGGAAGGAGGACCGCAAAGGGTCGAAGGGACATAAATTTTGATGATCTTCAGGTTCTCATTCCCTTGTGAGTTGGTGTACAGGTAGCATGCTACATCTTGCGATTGCACATATCCTGTCAGTTGTACATATTTTTGTTCCATATATGATGTGTAGATGACCACTGTGCTTTCCTGAGAAGCTCGTGCCCTTTTAATATGCACATACATACAGGTACATCTTTTTGCTCCCCTTACAAAATGTATGCAAAGTTTTAATTTTCCGGTTCTCATCGGTATATCAAAAACATTTTGAAGCCTAACTTGGCGGGTGTTGTGGTTATTGGTGTTCTTGGTCTTGCTACTGCTACACTATGTGCAATTTACACATTCCACTTCTCTCTTTGGAGTTTTGGATCAATATGAAATTTTCTAAAGCATTAGTCAATTTCATGACAATCTAAATCATGCGATAAGCGATTTTTAGCAGATTTTTTATAAATTAATTAAAAAAAAGGGGGGGAAATTTTTACTTTAAAAAAAAAAAAAAAAAAAAAAAAAAAAAAAAAAAAAAAAATTGATTGAATTTTGAAAAACAAAAAAACACAAAACAAGCAAGGATAAAAGGAAATTAATTGAAGGTCCATAATTTATTGAATAATCTTGAAGTTTACAACACAAGAAAACAGAGAATGGGAGGAACTCGTCCTCACACAACAAATAGGATTTTAACATTTGTAAAATTACTTTAATTTATTTTTATTTTCTGGAAGGCAAGCGAAGAACACATTCTCCTGATGCTTTTGTGGACGTTTTTAGGATGCTCTTCTGGAAGCTTTGAAACTAATAAATATTTAAGGCTAAAACTAATCAATTCAACATTATAAAATAAGATGAAAATACAAAAGAACCTTTGGAAAATTAGAGGGAAAAAAAAACCCAGTATCCCTATCATGTACTGCCCCTGCCACTCCAACCTACCAACCCACAACAAATTATACAATAGTTCGGTAATATGGTCACGTGGGTATAATATTATAATATGGGTGGACACACACTCTCTCCCTCCCCCTTCACCAACCATCACCACAATTGCAGTGCAATTATATGAAAACGAGATCTCTAATACGTTAGCCACCGAGAGCCGAAGAGGGGTGTGGGTGTGGTGGTGGTGGATTGGTTTGGGTTTGATTGCATAATAACGATTTTGGTTTTCAAAAGTAATTAAATATTGATAAGATTTGCACTTGAATCCCCCTCCTTGTATTATTGGATTATGTTTACACCATAATTAACCAAGCGTGCCTAGCACCAAAGTGACTAACACCAAGGCAGACATGTCTTCTTCCCTGCCAAAGGGAGATGCTCTTCCGAAGGGACAACCACCTGCCGAAGCTCCGAACTGCCAAACCTAAACACAGGAGACACGTGCCATCATCACAGCAACTTGCACAAAGTCCCACATCGGAACTTTGTGCAAACCTCCTACTTTTACTTCCCTATAAATAGGGAAAAGTAACCAAGAAAAGGGGTAACTTCTCTCTCACTATTACTGTTACTTTGCAACAGTTACTACCCCTAGCTAACTCAAGCATCGGAGAGCCTTCGGCCAGCACCACACCGGTGTCTGAAGCTTAACGACTGCTTCTCCTGTTTTTTCTTCTGCAGGCTAGCCCTTTATTGAAAGCCCAGGCCCTTCTCTTGCTAAAGGCAAACCCCTATCTCTAAGTTGACCCTCTCCGAAAAAGAGCGTCAACAGTTTGGCGGCGTCTGTGGGAATCGAATACTTAAAACCCATTTTTCTCTACCAGCCCAACTGGCTCCTTCACCTATCCGGCCCCGTCACCTCTTCTTTACTCCACACTCAGCCATGCCTACTGAGGATAACCACGATGCCCAGCGCAATACCCCCCAGGAGGGTACCTCCTAGAGGGGACCGTCGGAGGAGGTCAATCTCCAGGCCGAGGTGGAGCTCCTTCGCGCCAGTGTCGTCAAGATGTCCGAGAGGTGTGACCATCTTCATTCCAAGAACGTTGAGCTGGAGCACGACTACAGCATCCTAAAGCGTAACTGGGAAAGGAACCAAGCCCAGGGCTCCCAACGCAGCCTTACCCAGGAACCTGAGCGCACACAGCCAAACCAGCCGGAGCATTCCCACCATAGTCCCCCAATCCAGCCTAGGCCCAGCAAGGGTAAAGGCCCCCTCCATCCGGAGACGACCAAGTCACGGCTTCTCCGTATCTCCCCACCGAGGAACCGACCTCATGAACCAACGAAGGTCTACAGGGATTGTAGGGACTGTATCCTGGACCGTCATACGGGACCCCTTCTTATCCCCGTTAATCTCCAAGACCTAAAGGTGACACACCTAGGCCCCCCACCAAGGCCAACCCATGTGCCTGCGAGAGAGGGTATGGGGGACTCGGATAACTGGGGGCATGATTACTCAGAAGAGCACGAGTCTTATCACACCGAGGAGTTCGGTGGACCTGACCCTTATCTAGCCCCTGGCCACCCACACACCAGACCTCCAGCACCCGAGACTCTCCCTCATGCCGACCCGGCAATGAGACTTCTCTTTGAGAAGGTCCGGCGCTTGGAGAATGAGCAGCAACGCAACCACCAACCCCTCTGGGCGAAGCCACGACCTGGGCCCTTTACCGAACGCATCCTTAATTACCACCAGGAGAAGGAAATTCAACCCCTCCGCCTCGCCTTTACACTGGCACAGAGGATCCCCTCACCCGCATACATTCTTTCCAGTCTGCCCTGGGGTGCAAAGGCTTAACCGACGAAGGCATGTGCCTCCTCTTCCCATCCACTCTCAGCGGTGCGACCCTGAATTGGTTCTACAGGCTGAGCCCCCGCACCATCAATATGTTAGACAGTCTGAAGCAGGCCTTCCTGGACCATTTCATGATCCAGACTGATCGCCTCTACTCCGCGGACGACCTGTACATGCTTAGGCAGGGTGAGGATGAGCCCCTTCGGGAGTATGCAGCCAGGTTCAGCCACGAGTACTCCCGCTGCCCAGAGACCGATGATCGTGCCGCCTTTGGTGCTTTCAAGAGTGGCCTCCGATAGTCCAACTTTCGGTACCTAGTGCACAGCAACCCTTGGAACACATATGCTGAATTAATGAAGCAGGCAGCAGTTCATGCCAAAGCTGAGTACTTCAACTCCAAGCGTGGCCTGGCCACCCCGGCACATCATCCTTTCGATGATCCCCCACCTGCTTCAGCACCCAACTCAGCCCCGCCTCAACATTCTACTCCTGCCCCAAGTACCTAGGGTACCCAGCACCCCAAGCAGAATGATAACTACCAGCATACCTTCAACAATAGCAAGCGGGGCAGACATAGCAATCACCACCAGTCCAGTGGGGGCAACCCACACAGGGCAGGTGATCGGGCTCCACTCCCCTTCTCACCCAAGCCTAGGTTCGAGGTGTTCACCACCTTGAACACTACATACGAGAATGTCATGGTGCACGAGGCACCTATCATACCCAAGCCTCCCCCCCGGAGACCAGGCAGCAAGCCCATGCCCAACACGGGTGTCTTTTGTCGCTTTCATTAGTTCGGTGGACACAACACCGAATCTTGTGTTGCCTTGCGCAACATCATTGAAGGACTTATTCGTGAGGGGAAACTGGATAAATACGTGCACAATCTCCCACCCCCACCTAACCCTCACCAACGGCAGATCAACATGATCTCAACTATCAGTGGTGGTCCCACCCTGGCTGGAACCTCCAACAACTCCATCAAGCATTATGTCTGCTCCACCTATGCGCATCAGGTCTTCAGCGCTGAGCAGGGACGCTTGCCGAAGACCCATAAATCAGTACCTTCTGCGAGAAGGAGGAGCGCGGTGTTATTCTCCCCCACATGACCCAATCATTATCCGCGCCAACATTTCTAACTTTGATGTGGGGCGTATCTTGGTGGACACTAGCAGCTCGGTCAGTGTGATGTTTGCTGAAGCCTTCAACGAGCTCCAAGTCCCATCTCACCTGCTCGACTGAAGCATTACACCCCTGGTGAGCTTCTCTGGTGAGGTGGTCCAGCCCATTGGAAGCATTCATCTCCCAATCTCTATCTGATCGTCACCCCAGCGGAGGACAATCACCACTCCCTTCCTTATTATCGACTGCCTCACAGCCTACAATGTCATCCTCGGCCGCCCCGCCATGGCCCAAATGAAGGTCTTCATCTCCACCCATATGCTGCTGCTTAAATTTCCTCCGCCTTATGGCACAGGCACGGTGCGCGGAGACCAACTTGGCGCCCGAAGCTGCTATGCTTTAGCAGTGAAGTCCACCAACCACCAACATCGGGGCGAGGCCCTCGCAGTAACCCAGGCTCCAGCCCCAGTTCAAGCTGGCACCGAGCGCCCAGAAGACCCCAGGAAGGAATCTGTCACCCCACAGGCCGAACCTGTGGAAGACCTGGAGCTGGTTACTCTCGATGCCGATATCTCGGACCGGTAGGTCAGGATCGGCATGTCCCTCTCACAGGAACTTCGTTCTGATCTTGTCGCCTTCATTCGCCTTAATTCTAATTCTGAGGTATTTGCCTAGTCGTACAATGACATGTCTGGCATATCACCTGAGATCATATCCCATCGGCTAAGCATTAATCCTGCCGTCCGACCCATTCGACAGAAGCGTCGTGCTTATGACCCAGAGCGATATGAGGTCATGAGGGCAGAAGTGGACAAGCTAACTAGCATTGAATTTATCAAGGAGGTGGACTATCCCACCTGGCTGGCCAATGTGGTGATGGTTTGAAAGGGCACAAAGGGCTGGCGCATGTGTGTAGACTACACAAACCTCAATCGGGCCTGCCCAAAGGATAGCTTCCCCCAACCCCGCATCGACCAGCTAGTTGATGCCACAACTGGCCACGCCCTCCTCAGCTTCATGGATGCTTACTCTGGGTACAACTAGATTTTCATGCATCCTGAGGACTAAGCCCACACCTCCTTCATCACGGATTGTGGCCTTTACTACTACAAAGTCATGCCCTTCGCCCTCAAGAACGTCGGGGCCACGTATCAGCGTCTGGTGAACAGCATCTTCGCTCCCCTAATTGGCAACACCATGGAGGTTTATGTTGATGACATGCTCGTCAAGAGTCGCACTACTGACCAGCACATCCCCAACCTCTCAGTCATGTTCACCATTCTGAAGCAGTATAAGATGAGGCTCAACCCCACCAAGTGTGCATTTGGGGTGGCTTCAAGGAAATTCCTTGGCTTTATGATCAGCCAGAGGGGTATTGAGGCCAATCCAGAGAAGATCAAGGCCATATTAGACATGGCAATACCCAAGACGATCAAGGACATCCAGAGCCTTACCAGGCGTGTCGCAGCCCTGACTAGATTCATCTCCAAGGCCACTGTTCGTTGCGCCCCCTTCTTCAAGGCACTTAAGGGTAGCAAGTGGAGTATTACTTGGACTGCTGAGTGCGACAAGGCTTTCAACGAGCTAAAAGAGTATATGAGCCGGGCCCCCTTATTGTCAACACCTGAGCCTGGAGACACCCTCATGATATATCTCTCCGTCTCGGCTACAGCGGTCAGTTCTGTGCTCATCCACACAAAGGACAGTGCTGAGCACCCAGTGCATTACGTTAGCAAAGCGTTACAGGACGCCGAGGGTCGGTACCCGGACATTGAGAAACTGGCATTCGCCCTGGTGATTTCGGCTCGACGCCTCAGGCCATACTTTCAAGCTCATACCATTCATGTCTTAACCAATCAACCACTCCGGCAAGTGTTGCAGAAGCCGGAGACTTCTGGGAGGTTAGTCAAGTGGGCCATTGAACTTGGCGAATTTGATATCCACTACAAACCCCGCCCAGCCACAAAGGGCCAAGCCGTGGCTGACTTTATATCTGAATTCACCGAACCCCATGCCGTGGCCGGTCCACAGATAACGATGGAGCGCACTCCTACCCTGAGCCAAGTCCACGTCGCCAGCAATGGCACCCTAGACTTGACTCAGCCCTTATGGACCTTGTATGTGGATGGCTCTTCCAACGCCCAAGGATGCGGAGCTGGCCTTGTTCTCATCTCTCCGGATGAGGTTGTCCTTGAGTACGCCCTTCACTTCAAATTCCACGACTCCAACAATGAGACCGAATACGAAGCACTCTTAGCTGGCCTTCGGTTAGCCAAGGAGATGGGTGCCAGGCAAATTCAAATTTTCAGCGACTCACAGCTTGTTGTCCACCAAGTCAACCAGGACTTCACCGCCAAGGACGTGTCCATGACAGCCTACCTCCAACATACCCGCCATTTGGTTACAACCTTCAATGCTTATCTCATAAGCCAGGTGCTGCGCTCGGAGAACAGCCATGCCGATGCCCTAGCTAGATTAGCCTCAGCCATAGAGCAGGGTATTGGCCGCAATATCCACATGGAAATCTTGGATCAGCCAAGCACACGGGCACTACTCATCTGCGCCATCGATCACAGCCCAACATGGATGGACCCAATCCTCCAATATTTGCAGAACCAGACGCTACCTGCTGACCCTGCTGAAGCGCAGCGTGTTCGCTATCGCTCCACCCGATACTTGATCATTAATGGAGCCCTGTACAAGCGCGGATTCAGCTTACCCTACCTTGGATGCCTGACCCCAGAGGAAGGTCACTATGTCCTCCGGGAAATCCATGAAGGCATCTGTGGTAATCATTCAGGCGCCCGCTCACTAGCTCACAAGGCCATTAGGTAAGGATACTTTTGGCCCTCACTTCACACTGATGCCCAGGCCTTCACCCAGAAGTGCGACAAGTGTCAGCGGTTTGCCAATATCCCTCAACTCCCAGTTGAACCTTTAACGGCCATGGTTAGTCCTTGGCCATTCGCCCACTGGGGACTTGACCTCATTGGACCTATGCATGAGGGCAAAGGCCAGGTCAAGTACGCAGTCGTGGCCGTCGACTACTTCACTAAGTGGGCTGAAGCTGAAGCCCTAGCCACCATCACTGCGGCTCGCATTGAGACGTTCGTCTGGCAGAATATCATGTGCCGCTTCGGCATCCCCAACGCCATCGTCACGGACAACGGCCGGCAATTTGACAACGCAAAATTTAAGCAGTTTTGTTCCAACCTCAAGATTAAACTTTGCTTCGCTTCTCCAGCCCATCCTCAGTCTAATGGCCAGGTCGAAGCCGTGAACAAAATTATCAAGAAGACCCTGAAGACCAAGCTTGACAAAGCCAAGGGTTGCTGGCCAGAGCTACTCCCAGAAGTTCTTTGGGCCTACCGCACCACCTTCCGTACCTCAACGGGAGAAACACCGTTCTCTCTTTCCTTTGGTACCGAAGCCGTGGCACCAGTGGAGATTGGCCAGCCCACATACCGAACCTCCACTTATGAGGCCGAGGCCAATAACGAGCAGTTGGCCCTCAACCTCGACTTCATTAACGAGCTTCGTGACCAGTCCAACATGCGCAATGTCGCGTACAAACAGCATATTGCCAAGTACTACAACTCCAGAGTCAAACCCCGAGCTTTCACAACTGGGGACTGGGTCATGCGCAAGGTTTCCTTGGCCACTAAAAATCCTAATGAAGGTACCCTGGGCCCTACGTGGGAAGGTCCATATGAGATCACCAAGGTTAGCCGCCCTAGGGCTTATCAGCTTCGAGATCCCAAGGGCAAAACCTTGCCTCATCCTTGGAACGCTGACCATCTCAAGTACTACTACAAGTAAACATACTTAGACCCTAGGACATCATGTTTTCTTATACTTCGGTCTTGAGCCTTGACTCAAACCTACCATTGTACTTTTTGCCCTTCGGCACTCATCTAATAGAAGCACCCAACTGGGCCCTATTTCTACTCATTCACACTTCAGAAGTTGGAAGAATGCATAAAGCAAAAGATACTAGGCTATCATAAAAATCAAAGTAACCCTGCCTTAGGTAAGGCAATATCCATACATGTCAAAGACTACGTCTAAAAAAAATGGGTACATCATAACAAAAATATACACAAGCGCTCAGGCATCGGCATGGTCGTCCGCCTCCTCCTCGGCAGCTGTGTCAGGATCCACGGTCGACTCCCCTCCGCTAGCATCGGCACCTCCCCTCGTCTCGGCCTCAGAAGGACTCGTGGCCTCGGCAGACGGAGTAGCCGCAAACAGTAACTCCCGACCGGAAGGAATGGGAGGGGGAACACCACTGGTGTCGAAGTTTATATCCAACTCTGGATTAAACCTCGCAGCTAGTTTCTCCCACCCATACTGCTCCTCGACCATCGCGTCCAGCACAAGGCTCTTGAACCTATCTGAGCCCTGATACTCCTCCACAGCCTCGGCACGAGCGACGCTCAGCTCCTCGGTCCTCCTCCTCTCAGACTCGAGCCTAGCCTCCTCCACCGCCTCTAGCCGCCGGGCTGTCTCCTTTAGCTCCCGCTCCAACCTCCCCACCTTCAGATGAAGTGCATTCCTCTCCGGAGGGCAGCCTGAGCCTCGGCGGTAGCGGCTTTAGTTATCTCAGAGTGGCGTCTAGCCAAGTCTACCTCTCTCTCCGCCCTGGCTAGGGTGAGGTACATATCCCCAAAAGCCTGCAAGAGAGATATGTTCATAAGCCAGACCACTTCATAACTGAACTACTAGAAAGTTAAAGGCACAAGACTACTTACATTGGCGGTAGAGATCACCGTTTTCTGGACCCGATCGGAGAAGTTCGTGGCCTTGGTCCGAGCGAGCTCCCCCGCATCAATCTTTACCCCAGTCAGGAAGGCGTTGACAAGAGGCACTTCTTGGCGATGCATGGCCAGGGTTACCTCCTTCGCCTTCCGTCGAACCGAGGCAAAGTCTATATCCTCGGTACCTGCAGGGAACAGCTCCTCCATCTCGAGCAGCAGCCTGGGTGGGGGATCTAGGTCGAATGGCGGCAGCACTGTTCCACCCATGACGTCATGGATCGAAGACTCAAGCCCCCTCCGCTTCTTCTCCAGCTCCGCCAATAGCTCATCATCCTCCTGCCGAGGCCACTTTTCAGCAGCCCGGGCTGCTGTCGAGGGGGCAGTGCTAGGCGCACCCTTTGCCTGCTTCTTGGCCCTATTGGCCCTATCTTTCTCTCTTATCTCTCGCAACTTTCGTTGCCTCTCCTCCGGATCCACCACTACCTTCGGTGAATCCTCAGCCATGGTCACCACATTCTTCGGCACCTCAGCCACTGCAACCACAAAACCGAAGCAAGGGTGAGCACATATACAAAGACAAACATACAAAAGGGAGAGAGAAGGCTAATACTTACTTCCTTGAAGTAACCCCGACTGTAGAAGAAGAGCTGGTGTCACAATGTTCTTCAACTCACGCGCTTCCTAGGGCACCAGTCTCCTCACCAGCTCTATCTCTTCCTCTTCCTCCCCGGACACTGGCCTACACTTAACAGAACCTGCACATGGACAAAGGCGTTAGTTTTCACAAGCTTCGGACAACAATACATATTCATACCAACACATTCAAACACGAAGATAGGAGTTATAACCAATACATATTCAAACACAAATGCATGAACTGCTCAAAGGAGGGCTCCCCTCGCTTCGCCAACCACCATGCTATGTACACCCCCGTGCAGTATACACCAGAAGTTGGGATTATACTGCCCAGGGGCATAGCCCAATCTGGAAAGCATCATTTGCACCCAATGATGCAATGGTAACCTCAATCCATGTTTGTACATGGCTAAGAACACCAAAACGCAACCCTCGGGAGGGTATCTTGCCGCTTCAGCAGGTACGGGCAACCTCAGCCCCACACACTCAGGTATAGCGTAATCTACCTTCAGCGACTCTAGATCATACAGACTCATCATATTTTTCTTCGGTAGTGGAACCCCTATTGGAATGCCCACATCGGCGGATGCTACTACCACAGTACCACACCCCGATAGCCCCGCTCGCCCACTTGCACTAGCCTCTGGTGCCTGGGTTATCCCCAACACCCGGTTGGCACAAGCTTCTAGGGTCACATAGTTCCTTTGCATTTCCCTATAGGCTTCCCCCCCAGAACTCCTTGACTGCTCTTCTCCCCCAACCCTACTTCCCTCCACTATCAGCCCTTCCACCACACGTTCAGACCCAGTACTTTCCCCATCAGTACCCAAGTCTTCATTATGGCTACCACTCTCAAACTCTTCCCCACTGAAGGTATGGGGACTTAGGGAGCTTTGACTTTCTCTTTCAGAATTATTAGACATCTACAAACACAAAAAAGGGAAACTAAGGGGCATGCGAAGATTGAAAACAAAAGCCTAGGCATGTTCTTCATATGTTCATGGAAGTTCATCTACGTTCATACCAAATTCATGCAAAACTCAAGCAAAAGAGGCATTTCAATCCAGAAAGGGAGAAAGAACACAAGGCATACCTTGTTATCACCGCCGTACACGGTTGCCGAAAATCACCTAGCTCACGAAAATATCTTTTCATGCCTTGCCGGAAATCGCTCCGCCGTACCTGAACCTTATCGGAAATCGCCCTTGCTCGTCTACTCAAATCTCTCGAAAATTCCAAGTGCTCACTCATTCAGCCCTCCACAATCTTTTAAAGGCATACGAAGGACCCCTCGATTCTTGCTCCAAGCAATAACTCATCATACTGTTAGGACGCCTCGATTTCCACTAACAAACGTTTCTATACCACTGCCACATGGCACTCATGACGTCACAACTTCCCTTCCGAAGGCTCCCTTCCGAAGCGTGAAAAGAATCGCGACCCGTGATGACGTCACAACTTCTCTTCGGAAGGCTCCCTTCCGAAGCGTGAAAGGAATCGCAACCCGCGATGACGTCACAACTTCCCTTCAGAAGGCTCCCTTCCGAAGCAAAGAGGGACTCGCGACACACGATGACGTCACACCTTCCCTTCGGAAGGCATGATGACGTCACAACTTCCCTTCGGAAGGCTCCCTTCCGAACCTTGGAAGGAAACCTCGCGACAAGCGATGACGTCACACTTTCCCTTCGGAAGGCATGATGACGTCACACCTTCCCTTCGGAAAGCTCCCTTCCGAAGCTTGGAAGGAAACCTCGCGACACGCGATGACGTCACACCTTCCCTTCGGAAGGCATGATGACGTCACAACTTCCTTTCCCTTGGAAGGAAACCTCGCGACACGCGATGACGTCACACCTTCCCTTCGAAAGGCTCCCTTCCGAAGCTTGGAGCGACACGCGATGACGTCACACCTTTCCTTCGGAAGGCATGATGACGTCACAACTTCCCTTCGGAAGGCTCCCTTCTGAAGCTTGGAAGGAAACCTCGCGACACGCAATGACGTCACACCTTCCCTTCGGAAGGCATGATGACGTTACAACTTCCCTTTGGAAGACTCCCTTCCGAAGCTTGGGAAGGACCTTGCGACTCGCGATGATATCACACCTTCCCTTTGGGAAGGTACACCGTGACGTCATACCTTCCCTTCTTTGGAAGGCTATCTTCGAAAGGCCACCTTCGGCACCCCCATGACCGAACCCCCAAAAAAAAAAAAAAAAGGAAGGTGTCTTCTAGTTTTCAAACTTGGGGGACTAGGGGACTACCTTCGGCACCCGCCACGCTGGCACGCTTGGTTTAATTACACAACCTCTTTACAAGTTCCCAGACCAGAAGCCACTTCTTGATTGACAACTTGGGGGACTACTGTTTACACCATAATTAACCAAGCGTGCCTAGCACCAAAGTGACTAACACCAAGGCAGACATGCCTTCTTCCCTGCCAAAGGGAGATGCTCTTCCGAAGGGACAACCACCTGCCGAAGCTCCGAACTGCCAAACCTAAACACAGGAGACACGTGCCATCATCACAGCAACTTGCACAAAGTCCCACATCGGAACTTTGTGCAAACTTACTTCTTTATAAATAGGGAACAGTAACCAAGAAAAGGGGTAACTTCTCTCTCACTATTACTGTTACTTTGCAACAGTTACTACCCCTAGCTGACTTAAGCATCGGAGAGCCTTCGGCCGGCACCACACCGGTGTTCGAAGCTTAACGACTGCTTCTCCTGTTTTGTCTTCTGCAGGCTAGCCCTTTACTGAAAGCCCAGGCCCTTCTCTTGCTAAAGGCAAACCCCTATCTCTAAGTTGACCCTCTCCGAAAAAGAGCATCAACAGATTATAACTAGATAATGATGTTGAATTTGAAGATTGATAAAACTTTAAGCAATTGTCTTTGAACTTTAGCTTTGTAAATTTAAGATTTTTAGGGTTGGTAGAACGATATGATGAATGTAGCGCAAATAAAGCTAAGAAAAAAATATGAAATACGAGAATAATAAACTTAAACCTACTTGACTCTAGTCATGTTAGTCTTTCAATTTATATTGTAGAAATATGTGAAAAATCAATCAATTTATAAAGTTGAAAACGTAAAACATGATGGAATTATGAAAAAAAAAGAAAAAAAGAAAAGTAAATAGAAGATCAATGAAACGAGGCATGGCATAGTTAGGTTTACCACCCATGCTTTGTAAGAAAATGAAAAATATGTAGCAAGTTATGGGGCGTATTGAATTTGAAGATGGTTTGGTATGCTAGAAAATGAAAAATATGTAGCAAATTATGATTTTTTTAATTATATACAAATGACACTAGGGGAAAGAGTAATCGAACCTAGGACCTCAGGTATATGAATAAATTCTCTTAATCACATGAGCTCAAGTTCCCTGCAAATTTTTTTTCTTCTTTTAATTGCTAACGAAGTTCAAACATGTAAAAGAAAAAATAAATTGGGCTTAGGTACAAATTGCTCGAATCAAATCGTCTAAAACTGGTTTGGCTTGGTTTGGTTTGATTTCCTCAATACTTTTTATCAAATCGAAGAAAACTTAGGCCCTGTTTGGTATTATACTCAAAAAAATTGAACTCAAAAATCATTTTTTTAACATTAGTCTTTAAATATTGATTTTTCAGATCTAAAAATTTGTTTGGTATTAAACTCCAAACTATTCTTAAGATCTAAAAAAAATTAAAATTAACAAAAGAAAAGGAGAGAGAGAGAGAGAGAGAGAGAGAGAAATTTTTTTTGTGTGTAAAACTTCACTTTTTTGGTTTTTAAAATTATACCGTTTAAAGTTGTTTTTGAAAAAATAAGCTCTAGCAAACGTGAATTATGAGTCTTGGACTAAAATAATTTTTGAATTTAAAAAAATGAATTCAAATAGAATACCAAACCAGTCCTAAACCGTTCTATTATAATATATAGTTTCGATTGCAATTTTAAAATAAAACCTATCCAATTCAGACCGTGAATGATGTCGTGGCTGTTAAAACCCGCCTTTCCATTTCATTCAAATACCTTCCCAAAACGGCTGGGACACAACAAACAAAAAGCGCACACACGCACCGATTCCTATACTCAGTCACTCACAATCTCTCTCCCTCTCTCTCTCTCTCTCTCTAAAGTCGAAGTCTAAAATCTGAAGCCACCGCCATACTTCAACTTTCTCATCCCCAAAACACCAAAATCCTTGAGATCAATTCTCTCTCTGTCTCTGAGCAATGGACGACGAAGATCCTGTGAGGCTCTTCATGGCCCTCGATCAGTGGCAAGGCCCTTCAAGCGACCCAGACGACTTTCCTCTCTCCTCGCAAGACTCGCAGTCTCTCTCTTCTTCCTCCGATACATACATGCTCGGCTTCGTCATAGCCAACATAGTTGGAATTCAATACTATTCAGGCACCATCAGTGGCCGAGAAATGGTGGGTCTTGTCCGCGAACCCCTTAATCCGTACGATTCCAACGCCATCAAAGTCCTCAATACCAGAACCTTTCAAGTGGGTCACATTGAACGCACCGCGGCGGCCGCGCTAGCGCCGTTGATTGACTCGAATTTGATTGCGGTGGAGGGCATTGTTCCCAATACGCGAGCTAAGGGCAACAGGTTTAAGATTCCTTGTCAAGTTCACATCTTTGCAAGATTGGAAGATTTCCTGTCCGTGGAGTGTGCAATTTCGGAATCTGGGTTACAGCTGATTTCGGATTCTCATGCGTCATTCACTCTCTCGGAGGCAGTGGTGGTCAAGGAGAAGAAGGCTGAGAAGGGATGCAAGAGCGTGGATGAGATTTTCAAGTTGGTGGATGAGAATGCGAGCCAAAATGGTGCTTTGGAAGCATTGGAACCTCCAAAAGAAGTGATCAAATCGGAGCTTTTTGTCCACCAAAAAGAAGGCTTGGGATGGTTGGTTCACAGAGAGAATTCTGGTGAGTTGCCTCCCTTTTGGGAAGAGAAAGATGGGTCTTTTGTGAATGTGTTGACCAATTACCACACTGATAAGCGACCGGAGCCTCTAAGAGGTGGGATTTTTGCGGACGATATGGGATTGGGTAAGACTTTAACTTTGCTTTCTTTGATTGGGTTTGATAAATATGGTAGTGCTCTTCCTGCTTCAGTTGGTAGTGGCAGTGTCGATGTAATAAGCATACTGGATGATAACGAAATTGGTGAGGATGAGGGGTTGTCTGTTTCTGTTGGTAAGAAGGGCAAGAGGGGTAGACCAAGTAAAACCGGGTCGCGAAAAAAAGACAAAACTGAGGACACCAATGCTAGTAGCAATATGAAGGGCAAATGTGTGAGTGCTAGTGATAAGTCTTCTGGTGATATCAGTCGCAAGACGACATTAATTGTGTGCCCTCCTTCTGTTTTTTCTACTTGGGTAACACAACTAGGAGAACACACTAGGCCAGGGAGACTGAAGGTGTATTTGTATTATGGTGAGAGGACTAGAGATGCTGAGGAGCTTAAAAAGTATGATATAGTGTTGACTACATATAGTATTTTGGCTACCGAAAATGCTTGGATAACATCCCCTGTAAAAGAGATTGAGTGGTGGCGGGTGATTTTGGATGAGGCACACATGATTAAGAATGTGAATGCTCAACAAAGTCAAGTTGTCACTAATTTGAAGGCTAAGCGAAGGTGGGCTGTTACGGGAACACCTATCCAGAATGGCTCTTTTGATTTGTTTTCTTTGATGGCTTTCTTGCGGTTTGAGCCTTTTTCAATTAAGAGCTACTGGCAAAGCTTGGTGCAGCGCCCACTTGCTCATGGCAACCCAAAGGGGCTCTCACGGCTGCAGGTAATACCATGTTGTTTTTATTTCTATTTGTTTTATTTTGTATATAATCTATGAACAGATTTTGTATGCATGCAACAGAAGTTTGCATCACATGCAGTTTCTCCTTTTATGGTTTGCTTATTTTCATGGTTACCTGCGTCTTCTGCTTGTGATTGTTGTTTTTCTATCATAGTGCATTTGCTTGTTTTTGGGACAAAATTGGAAAAGATAGATTAGTTTCTGTCAAAGTTTCAAAATCATTCTTACGTTGTTTATGTTGCATCACATGTAGTTTTCTCCTTTTATGGTTTGCTTATTTGAAGGGTTACCTGCTTCTTCTGCATATTATTGTTTTTTTTTCTTTCATACTGCATTTGCTTGTTTTTGGACAAAATTGGAAAGCTAGATTAGTTTCTGTAAAAGTTTCAAAATCATTCTTACATTGTTTATGTTGCATCACATGTAGTTTTCTCCTTTTATGGTTTGCTTATTTGAAGGGTTACCTGCTTCTTCTGCTTATTATTGTTTTTTTTCTTTCATACTGCGATTGCTTGTTTTGGGACAAATTTGGAAAAGAATAGATTAGTTTCTGTAAAAGTTTCAAAATCATTCTCACGTTATTTATGTTGCTCTTTCCACTTATGATAAAAGAACTGATATGGAAGTGTATCTGAAGTGTCTCGTCATATTTTCTTTTCTTCTTTTCACTTATTTTTTCCCCCATAAGAAGACATATAGGATTGAATCAACCAGAGTTACTTGAAATTGTTCTTTGGCACCTGAACTTTAGTGTCTCAATAACTCATGAAACTGAACTTCATTACAGTCCCCACCCTCCTCCCTCCCTTCGCTTTTATGGTTAGGGTCTGGAGGAGAGCAAATTGTTTTGCTCTGAAATAAGTATTTATATGATAGGAAAGATATTATTAAAGACATGGTTGATCCATCACTTGCTTTATTTCAGATTTCTGTTTTCCTTTTGTATTAAAGGCTTAATTATTGTTTGCCCCCAAATTCTGAATGAGTATGCTGATGTGGCTCGACTGGGTCCATTTTCTTGTTTACATGTGGGCCACCTGGACTAAAAAATATTAATAATTGTTGTTTCTTATATTTTAGAAATGTTACATAATTGCACTTGAATTTAGAAATAAAAAATAAAACAAAAACTTAAAAGAAAAAACCTACAGCACACTTACGTCGCATCCACCTCCTCGCTGCAGCCCACCGCTCCCACCCTACCTCCACTGTAATTGTGGATTCATTTATTAGATTATCATATTGTGTCTTTCCCTGAAGTCGGTACTTGTCGGCATGTCATAAAAAATTGGACCTAATGGCCTCTTAGATGCTACATGTGCTAAGCCTTCCCACATTATGCATAAGAAATTGCCTATATGCAGAACTTTAGCAAAATATAGTACATGAAGTCGAATTACTAGGACACTCCTTATTTTCAATGGGCTTCTCTAACTGATGATACCTGATTTTGGATGGAGAAGAGGGAGAGAAGGAAGATGAAGGAGAGTGGTGTTGGGTGGTTGCTGTTTGTGGGTTTGGAGAGATCCATTGGTTTGGTTCAGAGTTTAGAGAGAGGATGGGGATGAGCGATGAGGGATGTGTGAGGTGTTGGTGGGTGGGGGTGGGCGACATGCAGGTTGGGTGGGCTGTGGGACTGTAAGTTTTTTAAGTTTTCACCATTTCCAAAATATTAAAAGCAATATATTAGTACTTTTTTTAGCCCATGTGGATTACATGTAAGCAAAGAAGTGCACCCCATTCGTGCACATCAGCAGAAATAGGTGAAGTGAAACATGGAGACAAAGTTGAGGGGGTTAGATGAGATTTAATTCAGAGTTTGGGGGTAAAACAATAATTGTCCTTATGAAATAGTTATCCTAAAACTGAAGTTGGCCAAATAATGTTCATCTGTTTTTATTTTATTTTATTTCCAAAAATTCAAGTTGTGCCCAATGTGTTTGCTGATGTTTCAGGTTCTAATGGCAACCATCTCTTTGCGAAGAACAAAAGACAAGGGACTGATTGGATTGCCACCTAAAACTATAGAGACTTGTTATGTGGAACTGTCTGGTGAAGAACGTAAACTGTATGATCAGATGGAAGGAGAAGCAAAGAGTGTTGTGCGGAATTACTTTGATGCTGGTAGTATGATGCGCAACTATTCTACTGTACTTAGCATAATCTTACGACTTCGCCAGATCTGTACTGATTTGGCATTGTGCCCTTCTGATCTCAAATCACTTCTCCCTTCGAACACTATTGAAGGTATTGACAAGGATGTTATATTGGTGCATCGTTTTTTTCTTAAATGCAACTTCACTTTACATGCATGCTTATCTGGGTTCCTTGAAATTCTTCAACAATTTTATCTAACTCTCTATTGTATACTTTATTTATTTATTTCAAGAGTAAACATAATTATTGGAGAAGTCGTACAATTATGCTTGGATTCTTGGATTCACGTATTGTTCTGTTCAATTACATTATTGGATTTACATATTGTTCAGTACTCATATTTTCGCTAGGCCGAAATTGGTAGCGGTGTATTCCATTTTGGAGGTTTGTTATTACATTCTTAGTATGCTTTCTACTTCATTTGAGTTAAAGAAAAGATTACAGAATTCTGAAGAAAAAAAGAAGGTAATTATGGAATCACAAGATAACAAATGATGCCCCTCTTAAATGTTTGCTTTCATAACAGGGAACAACAATTTAGTTGGGGGAAGTATTAAGAATTTTCATGAGGGGGTGCTTTTCAGTATCTCCTGTTTTTCCAACTTAGGGGTTATGTTCTGACCACATAAAATAAGATTAGTGAAAAAAACAACCAAGGACAGGCTTGCCTCCTTTCTTATCAGCACCAGACCCCACTTCATTGAAATCCCCAAAAAAGAAACAAAACCTTAGGGATTATGCCCTGGCTGATCTTTTTGAAGAGTTACGTTTCATATTAGAGAAGCATGCTGCCTTTAAACAAACATAGAGTTATGCTTGTACAGTTGTAAGCTTAGGACAAAGCGTGGGCGTCAGCTTTTGGTAGTTTTTGTTGGCATGCTTGTGCAGTTTGGTCATATTAGGACTTTCATGTACATGGTAAAACTCCAGTAATGCAACTGTTTAAAATTTTTATGACAAGTAATCTTTTCATTTTTATAGAAGAAACCTTGGAATGTCAGTTTTGTAGTTTTTTTTTGCGGAAGTGGCAAATTTTGGTAGCTAGATTTTAAAATGTTTTTAGAGTAAACTTGGACATCATGAGCAAAATTTATAGTTTAAAATTTAAAATACTAGAACCACATACAAAATATTACCGACACGATTAACCAAGCATGTCCTCATGGATTCCCTATTTGGGGTCCAGAAATCGGAGTTAGTGTGGTACTGGATTACGGCCACGTGTTATAGTATAGGTGCATATTTATTGATACTTTACCCTACAAGTGGGAAATATCAACCTTGACGTCCATCTATATTGTAACACGTGGATAAGTTATGCCACGTGGCCATAATTCAGTACCATACAATCATTTTTCCACATATAAAGGAGTACTGATATTTGATCAAATATAAAAAATGTTCTACAATGTGTGTGTTCTTCATAAAAAAATGTTCTACAATGTTCTACATTTGCATTTTAAATAAATTCTTCCATCTGCAGTGCTCTCCAATTTTCCTTGTTAATGATTTTGTTTGTATTCATTCTTGCTATATCCATGGAATCAGTAGCATGGAATAGCTGTTTGGATCACATTAGTCATTGTATCAAAGTAGTTCTTAACGAGATTCACTTCCATCTCAATTACTTAATCAACGGTTCTGCCCTACTCCTGGGGAACTGCTGTCAACGAATGATATTATATTCATTATTACATTCTGTGTGCTGGTGCTTCTCAATCTTTATAAATGCAATTTAACAAATCAGTCAATGTCAATGTGACAGATAGTGCTCAGATATTGATTTGCTATTCCATCGTTTTTATACTTAATTGCAAAGCCTCCTTTCTATGGTATGTTTATTTGGTACTTATAAAGTCAATTCTAAGCAGATGTATCCAAGAACCCAGAGCTGCTGAAAAAGATGCTGGAGGTGCTGCAAGATGGTGAAGATTTTGACTGTCCAATTTGCATTTCCCCACCAACTGATATTGTTATCACTTGTTGTGCTCACATTTTTTGCCAAGCTTGTATTCTGAAAACACTTCAGCGCTCGAAACCCTGCTGCCCCCTTTGTCGGCGTCCTTTATCACAGTCTAATCTGTTCTCAGCTCCTCAAGCACCTTCTGACAGTGACAACATGGTATCCTCTAAAACAACCATGTCTTCAAAAGTATCTGCTCTGTTGAAACTTCTTATTGCATCAAGGGGTCAAAACCCACTTACAAAATCAGTAGTGTTTTCCCAATTTCGAAAGATGCTGATATATCTTGAAGAGCCACTGAAAGCAGCTGGTTTCAAGACTTTGCGCTTAGATGGGTCTATGAATGCAAATAAAAGGGCTCAAGTAATCAAAGAGTTTGGGGTCACGGGACAAGATGTGCCCACGATTTTGCTTGCAAGTCTTAAGGCTTCAGGAACAGGTATAAACCTCACAGCTGCAAGCAGAGTCTATTTGTTGGAGCCATGGTGGAACCCAGGAGTTGAGGAACAGGCAATGGATCGTGTTCACCGTATTGGGCAGAAGGAGGATGTGAAAATTATCAGGTTGATTGCTCGAAACAGCATTGAAGAGAGGATATTGGAGTTGCAGGAGAAAAAGAAGAAATTTGCAAAGGAAGCTTTCGGAAGAAGGACGGCTAAGGATCGGAGAAGGGACATAGGAGTTGATGATCTTCTGGGTCTCATGTCCCTGTGAGTTGGTGGGTGTACAAGTATGCATGCATGCAACATCTTATCTTGCACATATTTTGTCAGTTATGGAAACTTTTGTTCCATGAATGGAGTAGATGACCACCATGCTCTCCTTTTGAGAAGTAAGCGCCTTATGATAACACACATCTTGCTCATATTACGTAAATTATAGAAGTTTTAATTTTGTTGAAATTGACAAAGTTTCTACAAACTTCTTGCGGTAACGATGAGAATGGCGTCCGCCTATATGCCAGTATCTTGAAGGCATTTTGGGTTTTAATTTTTCTTCTGCTATTCTCAAAATCATGTTTTCCAAGAGGGGGACAACAAAAAGTTTTATGTGTGCATTATTATAAAGTGACTTTAACAATCTTAATGACCATTGACCAGGTAGCCATTGTTTTGACATATTTATCATCTAGTTTTTTCTTTTTACTTTTTTTTCAATTATTATTTTAATTTTCCATAATAGAGGCTTTTGACCGGATATATTTGTTTTTGGTTATGGAAATGGAGGGGCTAAAACCCTAGAAATCTCTGTCACTATGTGCAGCCCAGACCGGATAGATTTTAAGAGAGACTTTAAAAATTTAAAAATTAGAAAATATTAGGACAACTGGTCTAGTTCTGTTGAGATCAGATTTAATTAGCTAAGAACCATGAACGAAATCGATTCTGACTAGTTTGGTTTAGCTATGGGATATGTTTTGACTTCTCTTTTGTCAACAACCAAACTGAACCTATCAGTTCGGACTGGTCAGGTCTAGTTCACCGACATCAACCACACAAGTCTTGCCTTGTATCGTTTGATTGATTCATCGACATTGTGTTTCACGGTGAACACCCATTTGCATCCAACTGTTCTTTTCTCTTGTGGTAATGTCTCTAGTGACCACGTATGATTTTTCTCTAGAGTCTTCATCTCTTCCTTTATAGCTTGAACTCACTTAGGATCTTTCAATGTTTCAATTACCTTGGTCGGAATGTGAATAGCAGATAACTAATGCACAAAAGTCTTGAGTAGTTCAGACAATCTCTGAGTGGATACATGGTTTGCAATTAGGTATTCAATGTTTTGCCAATATTGGGGGAATACAGGTTTGGTGGTTTTTCTTGGTTATGCCTAAAAGGTAATTGATATCCAACAAAATTATTAACTAAATTCACTAGAGTAGTAGGAATATTTACTTCCGGGATATTTTTAGGAGATTGGTCAGGTGGCATTGTGGTATGAGAATGGGGTTCTTCAGCTTGATCATGTGTTTCGTCGAATACTTCAGGAGATCGGTTGCTCGATTCTATGCGACTGGTCGGATTAATGCCGAGAGTTAACTTTTTTTCGGAAATACCAAGCGACCAGTCGAATCAATACCGAGAGCAACCTCGCGCTCTCAACTATCAGGCGACCGGTTGCTAGGGTCAGAGTGACCGGTCGGTTCCATACAAAGCCAAATTTCTTCCTTTTTCACAGTGCTCCAATTCTACTCTTCACTCATTGTCTCCTCGAATTGGACATTAGGGCAGCAAAGAACATCTTAGATTCCAACAATGTCACATTCAAAGTGACATAGATTCGTTGGGTTGGAGCAATGGTGGACGCAAGATTGTATCGCCATGGGGTAATAGTGTAAAAGTCTCGAAATTTTGTTAAGAAGAAAATAATACTAAAAAACATAAAGATAGTATTTTCATTCATAATTATTGGCAAAACTAACAATACAAGCTACAATTGTCCACGATGAGTTTTAATATTTTGAAAACGTTGCATTATAGCTTCGTTATCAATACAAGCAAAAACATTTCTTTCAATGTAAACAATCAAGCTATCATTCAATCATTAATCTCCCATTCTGTTGCGAAGTGGATTTTTGATAATATTCATGATAGAAAATGCCCTCTCCATTGAAGCAGTTGCAACTGGTAAAACCAAAACCAATATAATAAGCAAATACACATAAGGAAATTTTTCATGCATCCCTTTCTCCACCATTTTTTCCGCAAGCATGCCAATCCCTTTCAATTCAGAAAAATCACTACTCGAACACATATGATGAACATAAACCCCAAGTTGATCTTTAAGCATCAATAAAGCTCCGTCCAAAAAATCTTGAGGATAAAATTGAGCAAGACGAACTAGCTTTTGTTTTTCAAAAGCTACAAATGAATTGTTCGGACTCAAACAAGCCAACCAAGTAAGGAACTCAATATTTACCTCATTGAAATGATCATTTAATTCCACAAGTTGCCCATCAATAACATGAAGAAAGAGCTCCACACGATAATGATAATTCTTTGTCTTGATTGGAGCATTACATCGTGACTTCCTAGGAATTACATATTCCTCATCCATGTTAGGAACCGTAATATGATGTTTGTTACAAAATGAAGATGCTTGATCAACCAATTCATCAAACTCATTATTCCTCATCAATTGTAGGTTTTCCTTGCATGTTTGAACTAAAGCCATTACATTCATAATGTCTTGATCTTTCTTTTGCAATGCTTGAGACAAAGTATTTGTTATTCCCAATATAGCTTTCATAAAAAACAACTGAACCACAAACTCAAAAGATTTTATTTCTCTCCATAACTTAAAGACTTCATCATAACTATCATTGGGGTTATCATTAACAATCATTTGAAGTACAGATGGAAACATACAAATGATACTAATCAAGGTAGCATAACGTGAGTTCCATCGTGTATCACCTGCAAATTTGAGAGTAGTATCTTGATTCAAGCCTCGCTCCATTATAAGACAACCTTCATCAAAAGCTTTTACAAGCTTTTCTTGGTATTGTGCTCTAAGTGCATCATGACGCTTACAAGATGCTCTAACAACATTAATGTGGGAGTGATTTGTAGAAAAAAAAATGAAGATTCCTTCTTCCTCTTCGCTTATCTTTCTCCCTGTAAAACAATATGGAGTGAAAAGACCACACTCGGGGGGTGTTGGCCAAAGGCCCTCCGATGCCTAAGTTAGGTCGAGTGTTTGTAGAAAAACAATAGCTAACAAAGGGATGAAGATTTCTCTAGGGTGAGAACTGAGTGGGCGGAGTCGTGTGTGATGGCCGGAGCCTTGTGTGTGTGAGAGAGAGTATGGCGGCTAGGGTTTTTGAGAGAGGATTTCTGCAGAGTTACAGATAGAAGTTTAGAATTATCTCAAGCCTTGGTGTAGCCATGTATTTATAGGAGCCTCGAAGGCTAGGGTTTAGAAAGAATAATTCCGCATATGGAGAGGAATTATTCTTTCCCAATTTGGAGAGATTGTTTAATTAGGGATTTGATAATCAAATCCCTAATTAGGGTAAGAATCAAATAATTCCCAATTTGGTCAAATAATTCCCAAATTGATTGGCATTTGACCTAGGATCCATAGATTTTTTGTTTCCACAAATGCTCCCCAACTTCTGCATGGCGCATGGTGTCATGGAGGTGGTGTGAATTAATTGTTGGGTTGTCCAGCTGTAACTGGGCTTCCTCATGTGACTCGGGCTCCTGAGTGGAGGAGGTCTTCGACTTGGGCTGTCCGACTGTAATTGGGATGGAGGAGCGCGGGCCTGTTGCTAGAGCGGGTGACAGTTTAGGCCGGCTTACTTGCTGAGGCTAGTCCAATTTCCTTCAATTCAATTTTTTTTGCCACGAACTAGGAATAGTCTGAGTTAAGGTGATCATGTGTGGCATACAGACGTGCTCGAAGTTGGCGGCAGATGGGAAGGGGAGCTTGGCGACGGTTTGCTCGTTCCGCTCACCTACTGTGACGGTAAGTCGTACCCTATTGATTTGCTAAGTCTTTATGGAATTCTTTGTTGTGTATCTGACTCACTTCCGTCTCCTGCTTGCAGAAAATGACATTAGCAAGAAACTCGAGCTTTGAACATCCCTGCCAAGTTTCGTGGATGGCTGAGCGAACATCGGAAGGAGGGTGGTGGTCTGCCCCGTGTCGAAGATGTTGAAAAATGGAAACTACATGGCTTAGACCTAGATGATCTGCCAGTTGAGTGAGAGGAGTCTTCGACTAAGCTCCCTCCTTCTGCCACGAGCAAGTCTTCCTCAAAGGGGGTCTCGTCTGCTGAGAAGGTCTCTATGAGAGTTTCTCGTTCTTCATCTGCTAAGATCAAGTGCCTCGTCAGTACGAACAACAAGGAGGTCAATGGCATGCAAGAAGTCTGGGATATTCTGCTCAAGTTTCTTCCTGAACTGCTCAAAAGCCGTGATCTGCCATATAAGAAGGCTGCTGAGAAGCAAGGTTTGGGTCATCTGCGCTGATCCGGGGATCAAACAGAGAGAATTGTACCTTTGTCCAACAACTTGTCTGTGAAGCAGCCATGAACAGTCACGAGCGGAGCTTACTCAATGTTGTAAGCTGTGGCAAAGAGAGCTAAAGCGTCATATTCTCGAGTAAAGAGTCCTTTAGTTCCACGAACTACTGGTCTGGGAGCTGGTGATAGCTCTGTTTGGGATGAGCATGTTTCTGATATGCTCAAAACAAACAATTTGTCAAGTCCATCTGTTTGTGTCAAGATGGTTGACCACATACATCAGGTTGGGACCTTGTCACGTTCTCGAGCCTTTCCTTGGATAAGCAAGAAGAAGCTACCATGTATCATATTCAAAAGGGGATGATTTTTGCTATTGGGGCCATGCAGAACTTGTGTTCTGTTGCCCCTTCTTCTGCTCTGCTCGATGAGCTGATGAAGAATACCGATTTGATTGACAAGCCCTCGAATGAGTGGATTCACCTTGATGCGAGGATGTTCGAGATAAAGGAGAGTATGTCTATGCTAAAGAGTTCTCTTGGCCAAAAAGTTGGTGAGCTCAAGTCTCTTGTGGCTACTCTGCTCGAACGCAAGGAAACCTACTTTTGCCTCGAACGTAAGTATGCTTCTCTGTCCCAAAATCGTGACAAGTTGTTGGTCAAGTTTGACACCCATGTTGAAGCCACGAAGGGGTCCAAGCATGAGATTACTGTTAACGAGTACAAGCTGGGATACTTGGACTATAGGAAAGGTGATTCTCCATGTTGCCCCATCGAAGATGAAGGTGGTGAGCAGATCTATCTTGACCTGCTCCCTACTCAAAGTGATCAGATCAGTTATGTGGATGTAGAAGCAGTTGAGGAGCAAATAGCTAATTAAGATGCAGTGGAGGAAAACGCAAGGGTGGCTCAACTGATGAGGTCAAGGCAAACGCAGAGGAGTAGGTAGCTGGGGCTGTTGAGTAGATGGTGCCAGTTGAGCAGAATGAGGCTGTTGTCTACGCGGTTGATCAGGAGGCAGTTGAGGGTGTGATCGGCTAGGGGTCATTTGCCAAAGTCCCCTAGTAGATGTAGTCCTTTTTTGCTATTTTTTAACTTCATAATTTTTTTCTTAATAAGTGGTCTTTAGTCGATCACCTTATTTCTTGTTGAACTTGGTTGCTTGGCCACTTTGCTACGGAATTTTCAGTTGTCTTTCAAACTTTAATTTGCATTGTATCTTGTAAATGTATGTTCGGAGACATAGCACTCGAAAGAGACTCCATTGAGCTTGTACATGGAAGTAGCATGCCATTAATAGAGGTAAGGCTTGTCGCATGCGTACGTATGTCTGGGACATAGCGTTCGAAAAAGACTCCATTTAGTTTATACTCGGGAAGTAGCTTGTCTTCAATGGAGGTAAGGCTTGTCACCTGCGTGCGTATTTTGGGGACATAGCTCTCGAAAATGACTTCATTGAGTTTGTACTCGGGAAGTAGCTTGCCTTAAATGGAGATAAGACTTGTTGCCTGCGTGCGTATGTTGGGGACATAGAGCTTGAAAATGACTCCATTGAGTTTGTACTTGGGAAGTAGCTTACCTTTAATAGAGGTAAGGCTTGTCGCTTGGGGCCGTATGTCAGGGACATAGCGCTCGAAAAAAGACTCCATTGAGTTTGTACTCCGAAAGTAGCTTGCCTTCAATGGAGGTAAGGTTTGTTGCATGCTGGCGTATGTCAGGGACATTGCACTCGGAAAAGGCTCCATTGAGTTTGTACTCGGGAAGTAGCTTGCCTTCAATGGAGGTAAGGTTTGTTGCATGCTGGCGTATGTCAGGGACATTGCACTCGAAAAAGGCTCCATTGAGTTTGTACTTGGGAAGTAGCTTGCCTTCAATGGAGGTAAGGCTTGTCACCTGCATGCGTATGTCAGGAACATAGCTCTCGAAAATGACTTCATTGAGTTTGTACTCGGGAAGTAGCTTGCCTTCAATGGAGATAAGACTTGTTGCCTGCGTGCGTATGTCAGGGACATAGAGCTTGAAAATGACTCCATTGAGTTTGTACTCAGGAAGTAGCTTGCCTTCAAAGGAGGTAAGGCTTGTCGCTTGGGGCCATATGTTGGGGACATAACGCTCGAAAAAAGACTCCATTGAGTTTGTACTCCGAAAGTAGCTTGCCTTCAATGGAGGTAAGGTTTGTCGCATGCTGGCGTATGTCAGGGACATTGCACTCGGAAAAGGCTCCATTGAGTTTGTACTCGGGAAGTAGCTTGTCTTCAATAGAGGTAAGGCTTGTCACCTGCGGGTGTATGTCGGGGACATAGCGCTAAAAAAAGACTCTATTGAGTTTGTACTCGGGAAGTAACTTGCCTTTAATGGAGGTAATGCTTGTTGCCTGTGTGCGTATGTTGGGGACATAGAGCTTGAAAATGACTCAATTGAGTTTGTACTCGGGAAGTAGCTTGCCTTCAATGGAGGTAAGGCTTGTTGCCTACATGTGTATGTTTGCGGGACATAATCTTGAAAGAATACTTCATTTAAAAGCTTGCTTTTGTATTGATGTTGGTGTGACTATATCGCTTTATTGAGTGAAAGAAATGAACAACATCGAAAGCAATTTGTCTTCAATGAGAGTGAAGGAGACTCGTCGCCTGCTAGGAACCCAGTTGGTAAGTGAGAAGCTTCATGGATAGTATCTCCGAAGGTGGTGGGCATTCCATTGTCTCGGAATTTCCTTCCCTTCTAGAGTGTCGAGGGCATAACTTCCTCTGCCTCCAAGTCGGCTGATCACATAGGGGCTTTCCTAGTTGGGCTTCATCTTCTTTGACCCTTGCCTTGGTGCTGTGATGAATGTCTTTCTGAGCACAAGGTCTCCAAGTCGAAACTTTCTGATCTTGGCCTTCTTATTGTAGTAAGATGTCAGCTGTTGCTGGTAGGATGCAACTCGAACAATGACCTTCTTCGTTCTTCTTCAAGCAGATCAAGGTTAACTTTCATCTGCTTGTAGTTTTGGTCAAGATTGCCCACCTCAATGCTCATGGAGGGGACTGTGATGTGTGGAGAGAGGATTTCTTTTGTCCCATAGGCCATGCAAAATGGTGTCTCGTAGGTTGATCTCCTTTTGGTTGTGCGAAACGACCACAAGACACCTAGCAGCTCATCGACCCATTTTCCTTGTGCGCCTTCCAGTCTTTTCTTCAGGCAATCCAGCATGATCTTGTTGAATGCCTCTTCTTGGCCATTGCCTTGCTAGTATCTAGGAGTTGACAAGTGCTGTTTAATGCCATTCTTCGTAAGGAATGCGGTGATCTGCCTACCCACGAACTGTGTACCATTTTCAGTGACTATCGACTGCAGGCAACAAAATCGGCATATAATGTTCTTCTAGATAAACTATTTGACGTCAACTTCCTTGGTAAAGGATAAAGCCTCAGCCGCAATCCATTTGGTGAAGTAATCAATGACGATTATCATCATCTCCTTCTCGGCAGGTGTAATCGACATAGGTCTCACCAAGTCAATGGCCCGCTCCATGAATGGCCATGGACTATTATGTGGATGGTATACTTGGCAGGTCAGGGATTGGCTTATAGCGTAAGCATCGATCACATCTTCAAGCATACTCAGTGCAGTCTTGGCGCATGGTAGGCTAGAAATAGCCTATGCTGAGAGCCTTTTGGGCAAGCGATCTTCCCCAATGTGATTCATACATTCGCCGTCGTGTATTTTGCAGAGAACCTTGAGCGTTTGCAGGTATTTGATGCAAGTAAGATAAGGGCCGGAGCATGATATGCGAACAAGCATGTTGCCTTTCATGTATTATCTCGCAGTCTTCTGTTTGATTTTCATGTAGTACCTCTAATCCAAATAATAATATCAATCAATATAAACTCTACTGAAATATCCAAATAACAAAATCAATCAATATCAAAATATCAAAAAAATTCTAATTCATAAAGAAAATCAATCAATATCATAACATACCATACCAATAAATTATAATTCATGAAAGATATATCAATTTCCTTACAATTATCCAAAGCCCAAAATAATATATGTAAAATTATCACTCACTTGATTTGATGAGAAGCGATGGTAGCGGCGACAAGAGGTGGTTGGCAAGGGGGGAGACATGTAGTGGTTGGTGGTGGAGGTGTTGAAGGTTGGGGATAAGTTAGATTTTTAGAGGAGAGGGAATTTTGAAAAAAGAATAAGGTTTTAGGATGACTTGCTGCTGCTGGAAATTGGAATTGGCCAAGTTTAAAAAATAAAAAATAAAAAATTAACAAGCCTGGACCAAAATGGCGTCATTTTGGCCAGGCAATTTAAATATAAAAAATAAAAAATAAATAAAAAAGCTTGCGTGGCACCACACTGCGCAAGGCAGGCACTGCCTGCACGCTAGCTTATTCTTCTTTCCTCTGCTGGGCATTTCATCGAGCACTTGGTGTGCACCTTAGGGTCGCACACCAACCAACCACAGGGTGGCACCAGTCCTTCTCTACTGCATTTCCTAGCTGCCATGGGGTCGACTGACCCCATTTGTCCCTCTATGCGTCTGCCCTTGCATAAGAGGATGGTAGTATCGATAACCTTTATGATGTGTAGCATATCTAAGAAAAACACAACAAAGCACACATGGATCTAGTTTGCTATATTGGTTCTTATGGAGATGAACAAAAGCCACAAAATCAAAGATATGTGGTGTCAACATCAAAACAGAGGGCAATGGTCCTTATTGTGTGAGCACTTGTAACGGGGTGAGAAAGTCCAAGACTCTTGAAGGTATCTGGTTCAACAAGTATTTTACCTTGAAGCCAATGGGCTTTGAGGGACGTGATGCTCCAATAAGAATTGCTCTGGTTGTTTCTAGGCGGTGTCTGTTCTTTCCTTTGAAAACACCATTATGTTGCGGTGTCTAAGGACATGCATCTCATGTATTCACCATATTTGCCATCGTTGTCAAAACGTAGAATCTGTATCTTGGCAAAGAACTTAGTTTGAATCTGCTTATGAAAGGAATGAAACATGTTAAATACTTCCTTTTTCTTCTTCATAAAGTAAAACCAGCCAGTACCACTGAGAGAGAAAAGAGGGCACTCACTTTTAAAGTGCCCAACCTGACCATACTAGAAAGAGCTGATGGTACCCCTCTGACTTGGACCACCGCTTTGCCCAAGGTGTGGACAATCCCTCCTAAAGTGTCCAACTTGTCCACAGTTGTGACAAGCTAAGCTAGTCTGTCGTGAAGGATCCCTAGCCATACTGGCCATCAACTATTGCCCAGAATGCTGACACCAATTTGGCCTAGGCCTAGATCTCCCTCTACCAAAACTGGATCCAAGACTGGATCATCCTCTCTTTGATGGAACTCGCACTGAGCTTCTCCGACACACGGTCCGCTGCTTATGTCACTGCCCTCATGGTAGGATTAGAGGTGGCAGTGAGCACTGCTTGAATGTCCAGCCACAGACCCCCCTCAAAACGTCTACACTTCTCTTCTTCATTTGGAACCAGCTCAACAAAAAATCGAGATAATTCAATATATTTGTGCTCATACTCTAGCACAAACATTGACCCCTATTTCAGTTGCAGGAACTCAAATTTCTTCACCTTTCGGTATGAGTGCGGGTAGAACTTCTCATAGAAGACACGTTGAAACTCTGCCCAAGTAACTGCAGTAGGATCAACATTACCCCTACAAACAGTGTTCCACTAGTGGTAAGCATTCCCCTTCAAAAGGAAAGCAGCTAATGGAACTCGATCTCCATCAGGACACTGCAAAGCTTCTAACACTCTTTCTAGATCAGTGAGCCAATTCTCAGCTTCAGCTGGGTCTGCACTGCCGAAGAAGTCATGTGCCCCAAATTCCTTAACTCTTTTAATATCCGAGGCTTCAGTGTTACACCTCCCTTGCAGAGCTGTAGTGACCATTCAGGTGAATTGGTCTAGTACATGGCGCAAGTCAAGTTCGTTCTCACCCGCTCCCTCACCGACAGGTGGAGGTGGTGGTAGAGGTGGAGATGGTGGTGGAGGTGGAGGTGGTGCAGGTTCCCCCATCTCAGGAAAACGAGTCCTCGGTCTACCATGTCGAGGAGGCAAGGTGCAATAAGAAGGAAAAACAAAGAAGCCAATAGTTCAAGAATGCACAAGAAACGTGAAGTTTGAAGCAAAATGAACTTGGCTCTAATACCAAGTTGACAGGACCTGCCCTGAATTCCTCGAAATTCGTGACAGATCATGTGATTTTTCCTACATCAATCCGATGTCAGGCCCACTTACAAACAACGTAGCGTCTTTTCCAAATCAAGAAAAAGATGGACAAGACTTTCTGTCGAAATTTCGACAAAGTATCCCTTGAAAAACATACATTTCACAAATTTTTAACCTGTCAAAATACAGTAAAATAGCCCCAACAGCAGCATGCACAATATAGAAGTACACACTTTACATAATAGGCCTTCAGCCTTACATCCAATCGTAGCATGGGTGATAAAAGAGCATATATAAAGAAATTCAGTTTACAAGCGAAAATAAAGTTCAACGGAAATCGAGACAAACAAAAGTTATCCTACAAGAGTTCAAGGCTCGACAGTTCAGCCTTGACTCTGCCGCTCGGTCTAGGTCTAGTTACTGCCTGGGGGACGCGAAACAGAAAACTTGTGTGTGGACTAAAACAAGGTTTTATTATATTTTAAAACAACATACTAACTCCACTATTTGGAAAACGATGCAAAAAACATGTAATTGAAACCTAATATAATCGTATATAATCCATTAAAACTAAAGTAAGACCCATGTCCCATAATAGTATACTACTACTCAAACTCCCTCAGCACCCTTCCCTTTTTCTCAAACCACTCTCATCCAAAATGCGTGCCCATTGGCACTGCAAGCGAGGAAGGATCCTTACCGATAAGTAAGAACAAAGGTTTATGCATAAGTGTATATATATACGACCACTACCAAACTTGTACTGGGGAAACAATCCAACAGGGGGATTGTTTGACTAGACCACATGAAAGAATCCTCAATTGACCATGTGGGTAGGGAACGAGCCGTCCAACCGAGGGACTAGGCCCACCAGCACACACAACAGAATCCTCAATACTCATACGCCTGTGACAAGTCCTACGCGCGCAGACTAACCCAAATAAGGGTCTACAAAACACCCCGTCAAGGGTGCCCAAGTTCCGACATATCCAAGTATCCCAAATTTCCAAATATCCAACCCAAGTATTCCAAAACTGGGGAGGTACATAGAGTAGTGCTAATAGCACTCCAAACTGACCTCAACCACAACCCAACTCACATTCCATAGTCTCTTTCCAACAATCCCATGTACCCAATACACATCCAAGTATAGATAGTAACTCCCGAAAATAGCATATATCAATTCAAGATAATCACAATATGCAAATATCCAAATATACTTTCAATACTTTTCATGACAATATTATATTTCAACATTTAAATATAATAAACTCAATAATCAAATAACACATTATGCATAATTTTGCGTCTTTGAAAATAATGATTATTATTTAAAAACAAAGTCTACTCACAGATAATCCAAAGCTGCTTGACCCTGAGAGGGTCCCGCCTATTGAGTACGAGGAGCTTGAGTACCTATTTAAGAACACAAGGACTAGATTAAAATAAAATACTTTGAACGAGAACTTTAAAATAAATTCCTACTTTTCCTGGGATTCCAAGTGTGTGGACGACAAACGAGAAGTTTTGAAGGTCCAACTACGTGTTTCAAATGGTGGAATAACCTCGGAAGACGCTCAGTCAACCGAGTGGTCAAACATCCCAAATTTGGTCAAACGGGCTTGCAGGCCCCGCGACCTCTGATTTATGATCCGAAAGTTCCTACGGGTTCAACAAAGTTTACTAAACACGTCCTGTAAGTTTGGTCCAGATCAAGCGGTCGAATCGGTCGAGATTGCATGATTGGACGGTCACCATTTTACATAATCATTGAATCGGAGAATCCGGGACTCCAATTCTCAATCCGCGAATTCCTACATGATCCTAGAGGCACCTAGATCAACATATTTGGAAATGGAGTCGATCCAATGGTCTGAACATATTGAACTCGGATAACGCCTAATATTTGTAAATTTGATCAACGGCCAAACGATAACCAAATACAAATCCAATCCGGCACAACATGAGGAACATTTTAGAACCAAATGGGCCACCCAAACATGGCCCATGAACCACCACACGCGCCAGCAGCGCGTGAGTGGCTGAGAAAATTCCGGCGACGGGAAAATTCTCAAAACACCCATCACTACCTATACCTACATGATCATGACAACTAGTGGAGTAACTTTTGTTCTTGGGCCATGGCCAAAAATTGCGGGAACTTGCCTGAATTTCGAGTCGAAAATTAGCAAAAACTTATATTATAAAACGAGTTTCAAAACTTCAAAATCGATCCTAACCAACCCAACCATCAGCTTGATCATGTTGAAAGGATGGGAAAGCATACATGGATCAACAAAAATGGTGGTTGAAATAGTCGAAAACGATGACAAAAAGTTTGGGTAAAAATCAGCCTGTTTTTCATATTTTGCTGGCCCCGGAGTTGCTGGCTGTTGCAAAGATGGGGTAGGAAGAAAGGGAGGTAGCTTGGTCGTTTTGGTATTGGCCCCGGAGTTGCTGGGTGATGCAAAGATGGGGCAAGATGGAGAAAGGGAGGTAGCTTGGTCGTTTTGGTATCGGCCCCATCGCAAATGCTGGTTAGAGGTGCACAATTGCCGCCCAAACAATGGCTGGCTTATGGGTCTTCGCGAGGAGAGAGAGGTGAGGTCGGGGAGAGAGAGAGAGAGAGAGAGAGAGAGAGAGAAGAGAGAATCTGATGATTTTTAAAATCCAACTTAGAAATATCGACGCGCTCTAAGCAACGGTGCCATTCAATTTGCAAAATCCTACCAGATTAAAAAATGACCAAAATGACCCTATCTCAAGGGCAGAATTGTATTCATAATTAAATGAATGAAATGATTTCAATGAATGAGTAAAATTGGGTCGGGTGTTACAATGTAGGTAACCATGTTGACAAACTTCCTTCCACTTGTCTTAAGCACACATTTTGCAAGCCATTAAATTCAACTTAACAAGTGCCGACATGAGAAAAACATGCATACCAAGAGGATAGCATTGTTATGTTATCCCTAACCAATTACATTTTGTTACGCGTGATAAGGATTCCGTATAGCATAACATGATTGGATGGAGATAGCAAAATTCTGTATCCCAATGACATGCGTGTTGTTCTCCACCATACTGGCTCCAAGTCCAAATGATGCACGTATCGAAATGCTCACATCAACATCAACCACACAATACATGAACAAATGAGAAAATAATAAACACTAGAAATGCTTGCCATGGAAACAAGAATAAACTGTAATAATATCCCAAAAGTCTGCATAAAATTCTTGTTTAACCCGAATCTACTAATAAGAAAATGCATAAGGAAATTTTTAATTTCTTAATAAATAAGGTAAATTTAATGAAAATAACAACAACAAAAATTCTTGGATTCACTCATGCATCATTTTGTGTGGAAGAGATTCAAGACAGTTTGACAATAGATGGGAAAAGATCTAGTCGTTCTGTGTGGTAGGAAATCTTTTTTTTCTTAGTATTGTTTTCAAAATATATTTTATGTTTATTATTTTAAGATATGAGGCACAATTCCTAAATTGGAACCAATATTGATATAAAATTTAACATAATGTATGAAAAATAATGAAAGTGAGACACATGTGATAAGTGAATGTTTTAGGACTATAAAGTTTGAATTAGATAATATTTAAGGGACTATTACTACAATTTAAATCTTAAATTATTATGTTTGTTTTTTTTTTTGTTTTTTTTTGTTGTTTTGTGAAATTCGGGCGATCTACATTATGGGGGAGGGGCTCATTACGATTATTGGGGCGGGGGGGGGGGGGGGGGGGCGCGCCAAAAATGGCAAATGTAACTAAACAAGGCTACAAATTGGAGAACCGAACCAAATTGGACCTGAAAAAATCGAAACAAATTTGTAACCAAAACGTCAAACCCAATCAAAAAATCGAACCGAACCGGTTACCCCAACAAACTGAACCGGGCGAACTGAATCCGCCAAATAAAAATATATATAATTTTAATGTTTTATTTATATCCAATGCTATATTTTTAATCTCATAACTAATATTTACCCAAGTTCAATTTCAAAACATCTATCTTTTCTAGATTCAATATTTCTTTTTGTATGAAAATGGATAATTTGTTAATTTTCAAGCCAAAAAAATAAAATTGAAATTGAAATTTGTATAAAAAAAATAATTTGAAATAATAATAATAATAATCCGATTCAAAACCGAACCAAACCAAAACTGGACCATAACCGATTCAACTCGAGTCGAACAATTTTATAAATTTTTTTGTTAAAATCGGACTGAACCAAACCAGGTAAATAGTACCGAATTCAGTTCCAATTTGAAGCAAAAACCAGCCCAAACCGAACAGTGCCCGCCCCTACTACAAATCAAGGGTCTAAGCCAGAATAAGGAGTAGTTGGGTGTCCAGGTCAACAAAGCCAGAGAAAGACAATACACCGACAACTAAAGAAAGTAAACTGAAGGAAATACAAATCCAAGGACACTAAAGCATACAACGTCCGTTCCTCCCAACTTGGAGCAATTTCGTTAAACACTTGGGGGACAAGGAAGTCCGTCCTTGTTCAGAACATGGGTCAGAAAGGATGGGGGTCTATAGACCTAAACTTCTGGGCTCATCCTCTCTTTGGCTAGCGTTGCCAACAAATTGGTCACTTCGTTCGTTGATTGGGGGATCCATGACCAGTGACATTGAAAGAAATTGGATTCATGATCCTTCATCTTCATAAGGGTAGGCACACAACCAAAGCTCCTCTTGCAATATTCCCATTAATACTTTAAATCACACATTTGGAGTCAAATTCAATGTCCACCAATATTTTGCAGCGTTCCTCCACAAACTTACAACCCCATAGGAGTGCCAGAGCCTTTGCATCCAAAGCTGAAATAGCATTGATAATGGTTGTCATAGCCGCAAGAAATCTGCTTTGGGAATCCCTTAAAAGAATTCCAATTCCCACCAAACCACTTCTAGGATTCCAGGCAGCATCGACATTGACTTTAATAGTATTTCCAGTTGGGGGAGACTAAGCAGAGTTGGCGTGGGGGTTTATAGCCAAGTTAAGACTGTGACTTCGAGTTGGATGAGAATTAGCCTCTAGAAAGTTGGCCATACCCATAGAGATGGTTTGAATAGTTGCTTCCAACGAAGGACTTTGGTGCTCAAACACCGCTTTGCAACGTGCTCAAACACCACTTTGGTGCTCAATCTTTCTTTATTATTAGTACAAACCCCAATTGCATTAGCAAACCAGTGGCTAATATTAGTGATCCCCTGATGATTAATTCTATATGATAGGTTCCCTCCAAACCAAACACCCTTCAACTAGGGACAAAGAAGTAGCATGTGTTCAACAGTCTTCGGTTGTGACTCACATATGGGTCTTAATGGGGGATAGTCTCAGCTTTTTTTTTTCTTTTTTTTTCTTTTTTGTGTACAAATTATCAGTAGTTGCCAATCCATTGCAAAAGATTTTTTCCACACGAAGTTGTGGATCCTTGGGGGTGCTTGAATCTTCCATAGCATCTTCCAATTTTTAGGATTCATTGTATTGGATGTGGATGGGGCGTGCTGGTTCTAAATTTGACTTTTCACATGCACCCAATGGCATCCATATTTAATGGTATAACTGCCACTTTTCTCAATAGGCCAAATTATTCGATCAGTGTCCCCCATGGAACCAATGGGCATTCTCAAGATAGCAATTTCCTCACCTCTAGAGATCAAATGTTGAATCGGTTCCAAGTCCCAAGTGCTAGTCTCATGAATGATGATTGAATTCACCTTGGTGTCAGGTGTTGGGATGTTTCTACCATCAATTACAAGACGTTTGTTAGGTAGATTGGGCAACCAACAATTAGTCCACGACCTAGCTTGTGCCCCACTAGTGATTTGCCATTCAATTCATTGTTTGATGACCTCTCTCCCCTCCAAAAATACTTGCCCATGCCCAAGACGCTCTTCCTCCTTTTTGGGCCTTAAGTTACTTGCCATCTAGGAAGTATCTCCCTTTAAGCACTCTAACCCATAGAGCATAAGGCTCATGGAGGATTCTCCAACTCTGCTTCACTAGGAGAGCGATGTTAAAGTCATGCAGATTTCTGAATCCCATCCCTCCCTCTATTTTTGGCATACCAAGAGATTTCCAATTGACCCAATGTATCTTAGCTTTATCCTCCTTCTGACCCCCACCAGAATCGGGCTAAGAGAGAATCAATTTCTTTACATGTAGCCGCAAGAAATTTAAATACATTCATCGGGTGCATTAGGATTGCTTGGGCTACCGCCTTAATCAAAACTTCTTTGACTACCTCAGTCAGATAATGGATTTTTTTTCTACCCCATATTTTTTTTTATACTGATTTTGTCTTTGATGTAAGAGAGGGCATGCATCGTAGCTCTACCCCATATAGAAGGCAAACCAAGGTACTTGCCAGGGTCATTTACGGCATCCATCCCAAAAATGCTACTTATATTTCTTTTCAACTATGACAGTACGTTTGGCCAAAATAAGTATTGGGTTTCTGCTCATTGATGAATTGTCCAGAGGCAAGGTAGTAAGCATTCAATAGCCACTTCTTGCTGTGGATGTTAGTTGTAGGTTGCATAAAAAAAAAAAAAAAAAAAAAAAAAAAAAATCAGTGAACATATGTGACAGAACCGGACCCTCTTTGCTAATTTTTATGCCCTGCAGATGGTCAGACATAACAGCTTTTGGATGAGATTGGAAAGAGCTTCACTTACAAATAGAAACAGATACGGGGAGAGGGGGTCTCCCTGTCTCTCTAGATGGCTTAAAAGTCTTCCTTGGCTGACTATAAGCACCACTAAGAAAGAAACAGTGGAGATGCATCTCATGATTAACTGGACCCAACTTCAATGAAACCCCATTTTTAGCATAACGGCCTCCAAGAAGTCCCATTCCACTCTGTCGTATGCTTTCATGTCCAATTTGATTCCCATCTCAAATGATTTTTTGGATTTTCTAAGCTTCAGGAAGTGAAGAACCTCATAGGCAATCAAGAGATTGTCTTGTATTTGTCTTTATGCTACAAATGAACTTGGGTTGGAGATATAATGGAGGGCAGTAGCGGTTTGATTTGATTAACCCATCACCTTTGAGAGAACTTTATAAGAGAAATTACACAAGCTAATCGGTCTGAAGAGGGAGACAGATTGGGGTTCAAGAATCTTGGGAATTAGTACCAAGTTTGTTTTGTTTATGGCTGAGGAGTTGCTTGCTCCTCTTAAAAAATCTGCATCAGTACCCTAAACCTCTGCATGGATTTGTTGCCAGAATCTATAGTAAAACACCCATTGAAAGCCATCAGGCCCCAAGGCCTTGAGGGTTCCCATATTGAAGGCAGCATCTTTGACTTCTTGGAAGGAAACAAGGTTGAGAAGGGTTTCTTTCATTCCATCACTGATGATCCAATCCATACAGCATAAGAAGACACTTTCCATTTCTTGTGGCCCACTAGTGGTAAACAAATTCTGAAAATAGCCATTAAAAGTTCTTCTTATATCATGTTCTCCTGGCCCCCACACACCATTCTCATCCTGAATACATCAACCTTATTTTTCCTTTCTCTCTGGATGGTGGCTAAGTGAAAGAACTTGGTGTTCGCATCCCCTGTCTTTAACTAGTTAACTATGGACTTTTGAAGCCAATACTTCCTCCCTATCCGACAAGATGTTGATCTTTGTGATGACAAGTTTCATTCGTGTCTCATTAGCTCACCACTCCTTCTGTAGCTCTTCAAGTTCCCTAGTTAAAGCCCTAATCTGTTTTTTTGCTATTACCCAAATTCTAAGAGACAACGTTTACATTTGTCAGGCTTATATTGTAGTTCATGTATCCTAGGTCCTTGTGTGGGGGTCTTCCAGCATTCAGGGACAATGTCACAACACTCTCTGTGCTTTAGCCAACTATCTTTGAACATAAATTGCTTCTTCCTGTGTTGTTGTCGTGGGTTGGCAATCGTAATTAAGGGACAGTGGTCAGAGCCAATTACTGGCCCATGATAGATGCATTTGGCCATCGTTCAAGCTGTAACGTGTTGGCTAATCTACGATCGAGTCTCTCTTGTATCAGGGATTGTTTTCTTCTCATAGCTCGCCACATGAAGGCTAGACCCTGAAAGTTTAGATCCGACAACTCCGCCTTATTCATAAAGTTCAGAAAATAGAGTGGCTTAGTCGTAGATGCTTCTGTTCCCCATCTCTTTCTCGTGGTTCCATATTTTTATTCATTAAAATCCCCTCCGACAAACCAGGGTTGGTTCCGAGGAAGGAGAGTGGTTTCAACCCAACTCTAGAATTCAGTTTTGTGATCATGGTAGGGGGTTCCATATACCCATAACATGTGGAAGGTCTCATGAGTTCCAGAATTCAGCTTTGGCTTTAGAAAATAGGTTACACCGTTTTGCCTTCCCCTTCCTTATATTAATCTGAGCTTGATAATACATCATTGAGTGGCTTAGGGCACTACTAGCTTTCCACTTGACTCGCGGGCTTTTTCTTTACCTCTTCTTTTCTTTCCTGGGGATTGGCCCATGTCATCATAATTGTTAATAGCAGCCCGCTTAAGGCCCATGCCTCCAAAGATAGACTCTAAGTGAGATTGGTTCATTAAAGTGGGTGAAAGTTGACTAGGGTCAAAAAGGCCTCGGAGGATTTGGTCAATTTGATAATATCACCCCAATGTCATCCTTTCTCCTTCAATGGTGGGCCCTGATCTTCCCCACTCGGTTGTAAATGTTGTTCCCCTTGATATCAGAGCTCTTATGTTTCCCATCCAATCCAGAGGGGTTATTGCTTTGCTCGGTTTATAAGGCAACTGATTTCAAAGACCTCATTTATTTCTTGTAGAAGAACAGGGAGCCGTTGATTTCTTTATCTAACCAATGACATATCTGAGAAGATTTAGCATTGGAAAGGGCTCCTAGTAGTAAGGGGTAGTTCTCAAAGTATCACCAGTGATTGACTGTGCCATGGGGACTAATATGGGCTGCATTTTGTTATGAGCGCCATCATGGAAGCCTAGGTGCAGGCCTTTGTTCATCGTATCAAGGTTGGGACTTTCCTTGTTCCTCATTCCTTTTTGCGCCTCGACATCACACGCCGCTCCTCTATTCTTTCTCCTAGGATTCACCGATCCCACTTTGTCCTCTTTGTCTGAATGGTGTTTTCCAGTCTTGGCTCCTCGAACTCCCTTATGATTATAGCAGGAGACCACTTCACTTCCCATATCTTGCAGATCCTTCTATGGGGGGTACATATTTGCAATTTTTCAGAGTATGCCCAAACCGACCACATTGGAAGCAGAAATCCGAGAGGCGTTCGTATTGAAATTCCACCCAAGTCTCAGCACCTTTTGTTTAGTAAGCCAAAACTGTTAAGAGTTATTTAGTTATTTTTAATTAACTAATGCTAACCTGGTAACATAGAGGCCAAGTCAAGCTAGAGTTGTAGCATGTAGGGGATGTGGTTGAGTCTGCTCACCATGATCACAATTGCTTCCGTTGTTTAGAATTGTTATCTCCACAAAATCTACATTAGTTGTGTTAGTGGTTACAATGGAGTTAGAATTTGTTTTCTTTGCTTCTATTTAAGATGTAAACTTGTTCTGTTTTAAGAGAAGAGAATCTTCAGCTTTTAATATACAGAGCATCCTTTACGTTTTGGTTTCAGTTGCCAACATCTTGTATCAGAGCTCTTCTTGGACCTGATAAAGAAACACTTGAGTAAAGACTGAAGGAGAGAGTCTTGCAACAGCAAGAAACTATGGCAACTAAAAAAGTCACTGGGAGTTTTGTTCAACCTGCAATTCCACAATTTGATGGTCATTATGATCATTGGAGTATCTTGATGGAGAACTTCCTAAGATCAAACAGTGTTGGCACCTCATGGAATCAGGGATTGACTCACCAACAGAAGGAGTCACTTTGAGTGAACAACAACAAAAGAGATTTGATGAACGAAAGCTGAAAGACTTAAAGGTAAAAAATTATATATTTCAGGCAATCGATCGATCTATTATGGAGACCATACTCGAGAAGTAGACCTCCAAACAGATATGGGACTCTTTGAAGAAGAAATATGAAGGCTTAGAGAGAGTGAAGCGTGCACTGCTTCAAACTCTAACGAGGGGATAGAAAACAGGATGAGATCAAATGGTGGCACCATGGAAGAAGTAAAAGTTGTGGAGAAGATATTGAGATCATTGACTCCTAAATTTGACTATGTTATCTGCTCAATTAAGGAGTCAAAGAATGTTGTTGAGATGCAAATTGATGAATTGCAAAGCTTTTTGCTAGTGCATGAGCAAAGGCTTAACTGTACCGCTGCTAGTGAGGAGCAAACAACACTAAAGGCTTCTAATTTCTCTAAGTCCTCAAGCTCTAGAGGAGGAAGAGGTCGTGGAAGAGGTGGACTAGGTCAAGGAAGAGGTGGTCAAGGCAATCAGGATGGTGGAAGGTTTAGGAATAGAGATGATAGCAAATCATCTCATGTCTCCAAGAAAGATGATGACTCTCAAGGAAAGGGAGGAGGCCACTATGACAAGTCCAAGATTGAGTGTTACAGATGTGGAAACTTTGGTCACTACAAGAGCGAGTGTTATACGAAGCTGCCAAAAGAGAAAGGAGAAAAATCCAACTTTGCTAAGAAAAAGGAGGAAGAGACTTTTGATGGCTTTTCATGCACTAGAGGAGTATGACCAAGAAACATGGTACGTGGATACTGGCTGTAGCAATCACATGAGTGGATGTAAATCTTCCTTTGTTAATTTATATGAAAAGCTTTCTTTCAGTTGTGAGCTTTTGGGATAAATCAAATGTGAATGTGATGGGAAAGGGAGATATTCAAATCAGGACTAAAAATGACTTTGTTCAAACCATTGCTAATATCTTTTTTATTCCTGACTTGAAAACAAGTTTATTAAGTGCTGGACAGTTACAAGACAAAGGGTACATGATTACAATTTTTAAAGGAAAATGTGAAGTGTATGATCCAAAGAGAGGCTCTATTGCTGTGGTAAAAATGTCCTCAAACAAGTTGTTCCCTTTGAAGATCAAGACAGTTCAGGCTTCTTTGCTTACAATCGAAGATAATTCATGGAGATGGCATTACATATATGGTCATTTGAACTTTAATGGTTTGAGAACACTTCACCAAAATGAGATGGTCACGGGCTTACCTGAAATAACTCCTCCATCAAAGGTTTGTAAAGAATGTATCACTAGGAAACATCAAAGAGATTCATTTCCAAGTGGAAAGGCAGTGAGGGCTCAATCAGTTTTGGAGTTAGTTCACTTATATCTATGTGGACCAATTAATCCAATCTCGAATGGTAACAAGAAATATTTCATCTCTTTTATTGATGATTTTAGTAGAAAGACATGGGTATATTTTTTTGCAGGAAAAGTCAAAAGCATTTGATGCATTCAAAAGCTTCAAAACCCTAGCTGAGAATGAAACTGACAAGAAGATTAAAACACTCAAAACAGATCGAGGAGGGGAGTTTTGCTCCAAGGAGTTTGATTTTTTATGCAGAGAAAAAGGCATCAAGAGACATCTCACCACTGCTTACATGCCACAGCAGAATGGTGTAAGTAAGAGGAAGAATTGAATCATTCTTAATATGGTTTGAAGTTTGCAAGTTAAGTGAAGGTTCCAAAGAAATTTTGCCCTAAAGCTGTACTATGGTCAGTTCATATTCTTAATAGAAGTCCCACATTTTCTATTAAGAATATGACTCCTCAAGAAGCTTGGAGTGGAAAGAAGCCCTCAGTTGATCATTTTAAAGTGTTTGGGTGCATTGCATATGCATACATCCTTGATGAGAAAAGAAAGAAGTTGGATGATAAGAATGAAAAGTGTATTTTTCTTGGAGTAAGTGAAGCCTCAAAAGCTTATAGGCTGCACAATCTAGTGACAACGAAGATAGTGATAAGCAGGGGCGTAATATTTGATGAAGAAACTATGTGGAATTGGAATGTTGAAAGCTCAGTCCAAAAGCCACTAGTATATGATGGTGTCTTAGATGGTGAGGAAGAAGAAGTACCTGCAACTCAAATCTAGGAATCACCTCAACCTGCGGCCCAACCTCATCAACAATTAGAAGAAGAAAGAGGTTACAACTTGAGGGATGAAAAATCAAGCAAGAAGCTAGCATGGATGATGGATTACAATGTAAATTTTACAAGTTCTGATGATGATAATGCTCATTTTGCTTTATTTGTAGACAGTGATCCAATCACATATGATGAGGCTATTAAAGTAAAGAAATGGAGGGAAGCAATGGACAATGAAATCAAGTCCATTGAGAAGAATCACACTTGGTAGTTGACAGACTTACCCAAGGGAAAGAAAACCATTGGTGTTAAATGGGTTTTCACGACAAAACTGAATGAAAATGGTGAAATTAACAAGCACAAAGCTCGTCTAGTAGCAAAATGTTACAAGCAAAAGCATGGCATTGATTACAAGGAAGTGTTTGCCCCAGTTGCAAGACAAGACACAATCAGGTTGGTGGTTTCACTTGCAACTCAAAACTCATGGTCAATCTTTCAGTTAGATGCGAAATCAACTTTCTTGCATGGCGACTTGCAAGAGGAGGTGTACATTGACCAGCCACCTAGTTATGACAAGAAATGAGAGAAAGACAAGGTGTACCAATTGAAGGAAGAACTCTAAGGACTAAAACAAGCACATCGAGCATGGTGCAATTGCATAGATGCTCAATTTACCAAACTTGGATTTTACAAATGTCCCTTCAAGCACACTCTTTATGTCAAGACTGAAGAATGAGGTAAATTGCTCATTGTGTGTTTGTACGTTGATGATTTGTTATTCACTGGTAATGATGTCAAGATATTTGATAAATTTAAGAAGTCTATGATGAAGGAGTTTGAAATGACTGATCTAGGATTAATGCACTTTCTTAGATTAGAAATCATTCAAACTACTATTGGAAATTTTATCTATCAGAAGAAGTATGCATAGGAAATTCTTAAAAGGTTTCAAATGGAAGATTGTAAGTCATTTGCAACACCAACTTAATTTAGGTTAAAGTTGTGCAAAGACAAAGGTAGAAAGGTGGTTGATAGTACTTTCTACAAGCAAATTATTGTTAGTGTCATGTATTAACCTCCACAAGACCTGACATCATGTATGCAGTAAGTTTGGTAAGCAGATATATGGAAAAATCAACTTAAATGCATCTATATGTGAAGGGTACAGTTGATTATAATGTGTGTTAAAGGCCAAATGGTGCGGGTTTTTTTGGTTACACAGACAGTGATTATGCAGGTGATATAGATGATCGTAAGAGCACTTCTGGTTATATATTCATGCTCAACTCTGAAGCAATATCATGGTCCTCAAAGAAGTAGCAGATAGTGGCAATTTCCTCAACTAAAGTTGAGTTTGTGGCAGCAGCTTCGAGTTCTTGTCAAGCTGTGTGGCTTAGAAAAATGTTTGAATTTTTTGGTGATGAAGAAAAGGGAGCAACGATCATCTATTGTGACAACACGTCAACCATCAAGCTATCAAGGAATCCAGTCATGCATGAGAGAAGTAAACATATTGATGTTTGTTTTCATTTTAGTAAATTAGGTTTTAGCCAAAGAAAAAATTTCACTTTTGGAAAAAGCCAAAGCTTTTTCAAAAAAGACAGAAAAACCTCTCAATTTTCAAATCAAAGACATGCAAATGTAAAGGATTCCTTAGGAAATCCAAAAATAAATAAGGGCAATTTTGTCCATTTTGGCTTCTTTTACAAAATTTCTCTCTCCTTTGTGTTTTTCCAAAGTCTCTCTTTCATTTTCTACATGATCTTTGCAGTGATGGAAAAGTTGAGCTGCAGTATTGCAAGACTGGAGAACAGTGCTTGCTAAACCCAAGTGCAGGTGTCGCGCAATAGTAAATCTCATAAGTCGAGTATCGTATCCACAGAGAGCGGTGTTAAAGTGCACAAAATATGTAAGATAACTGCAACAAGAAGAATGTGATTAAAAGATTAGAAGAAAGTTCAATGATAATAAAACACTAAGACGTCGGGGTTCCACCTTCAAAATACATATGTAATCCCATTAGTTTGATTCTCACTATGATTGTTCACAATTAAAATCCAATTTAATTTCGTTTAGGGAGAATTTCAAGTATAACCTGTACCTACAGCAACAACCTATCAAGAAATAATTTCAATGAAATCAAAGTAATCTACTAATTTTTCTCAAATCTCAAAAGCATGGATGTTTTTACTAAACTATAGGAAAAGCTTGACTAAACCTATGAATAAGATTATCAAGCACCCATCAATTGAACAAAGAGAAAAACTAAAATTAAATTGAACAAATCCATAAATAAGAATTTAACATTAAAGATCCATCGAAATCAAACTAACAAAACCACATAGTATCTCGAAGGCTTTCCCCCTAGCCTTAGCTAGGGAGTTAGTTCTCCATAACAAAGAACAATAACTCTAGAAAAACAAAGTGTTTTGGGCCCAAAAAGCAGAATGCTCGAGACACAGCAAGTAGCTCCCTTTTATATTAGTGAAACCCTAACCCCTTTTCCTCCTTGAATTTAACTTCTCCATAGTCTTATGCATGCACGTCAGCTTCCTCTTTTGATAAGTCATGGTCTCACGTGATGAGTCTCCAATCAATTAACTTAGTTTTCTCTCTTACTTCATCTCTTTTGCACTCCAATAATCTGCCCACATAATTCCAATATTATTTGCCTACATAAAATGGGCCAAAGTCAATGCAAAATAATATTAAACTTTATTTGACCAATTAAAAATATAGTAGACCAAAATAAATAAATTAGTAAATAAATAAGCTCTAAGGGTATATTTTAGGGACATAAATGATGCACTTCACAGCTATTATCAAACAGGTTGCAGATATTCTAACTAAACGAAGTAGCCTGCATTCGAGAAGCTAAGGAGTATGCTTGGTGTTTGTTCAGTTCAAAGTGTTGATCAAGGAAAAGCCGCAGATGAAGAAGATTATGTGATGGTAGAAAATTCCTAAACTGTTTTTCAACAGAAATCAGTTTAAGGGAGGGTGTTAAGAGTTATTTAGTTATTTTTAATTATGTTTTTTAATTAACTAATGCTGACCTGGTAACATAGAGACCAAGTCAAGCTAGAGTCCTAGCATGTAGGGGATATGGTTGAGTCTTCTTACCACGATCACAATTTGCTTATGTTGTTTAGAATTGTTATCTCCACAAAATCTGCACTAGTTGTGTTAGTGGTTATAATGGAGTTAGAATTTGTTTGCTTTGCTTCTATTTAAGATGTAAACTTGTTCCGTTTTAAGAGAAGAGAATCTTCAACTTTCAGGGCATGTTTACGTATCAGTAATGGAGAAACTAAGGAATCAGAGAATTTAGGAATCGGAGAACTACTGAATCGGTATGGGAAGAATCATTCCCATTAAGCTGTTTACTAAACATCTGGAATTAGCAATGGAATGGGATTGATTCCCATTGTTATTGTTTACTAATTTGCATGAATCAGAATCCAAATTAATTTTAGAATTATGGTAAAGTGATAAGAGTATTTTTGGAAGTTATTAAGAGAAAACAGGAATGGGAATCGTATCGACTACTCCCCCCTAGTTGATCTGATTCCTAGTTTTGAGGGAATGTGATTACAGATTTTGAGGTGGGGCCCACTTATTTTTTCATTCCTGATTGCAAGTAAACGCAGGAGAAGTCAGGAATGGAAATCATTCCCTTTCCTCTCATTCCCATTACTGATACGTAAACATACAGAGCATCCTTTACGTTTTGGTTTCAGTTACCAACAAAAACCCTTTTGGTAAAGGATGGCTTGAGTCCACCAAAGCTTTAAGGCTGAAAAAGCCTCCAACTTTACTTGGGTCTTCATAATCAATGACATCCCCAACTTTACTTCCAATTTTTGAAATATTTTTGGGGCTACATTGATTAAGGGGGATTCCTCAAATCTAGATCGAGAATGGCACCCTCTCCATTTGTAAATCCTCCACAACTTGATCATCTGGCCATCTCTGGATATTACAACAGCATTTCATGGCCGACCAGGGTCCATTGTCTAGGATTCTTTTAGCCATTTCCTCGTATTATGTTGTAATAGCAAATATGTTATCTTCGACCCATGAGATTTTTGTCTCTCCATAATCCTGCTATGCCATCTTGAGGATGGTCTTGATTGCCCCTTTATTCGATACTCTGTTGGCAATCATAGCCCCAATTAATTTTGGGCTTTGCTCAAGGCTAGAAACGTCAAGGGTGGTTTTGAATTACAAGGCCAGCTCATTTGCTGAGGATTGCAACATTGAAATTTTGGTCAGGTTGGAATTTCTGGTGTTTCGTTGGTGGTGGTTATTGCTGGTATATATGAGGGTGGCGATGTTGTGAAAAGCTTTAAGGTGAGCATGTGATTTGAAGACATATAGAGCAAACCCATTATTGGGGTTTGAACAGATGCCATAAGGATAAAGGGGGAGGACCTCAACCATTAAGGTAAATCCCATTGGCCAAGTTCAAATAAGGGCCATCATTTTGGCAAATACATGGAAAAGGGCTATCATCGCATATAATTTGCTCATGACAAAATATAAAAGGACACTGGAAAAAAAAATGTAACAAAAGTCTCTCCAAGTCACGAAGGATTTCTCTAGTGTTCTATCATCTCAGGTGACACATAAACCCATCCCCAAGAGGCAACCCCATCCTTGGGCTCTGACCCTTTCAACCTAAGTACACTTATTCAAAGGAGTGCCTGTAATGGATTGGGCCATAACAAACATAAGAGACCCAGCCACCAACGTAGGTCGGTGGGAAGGAGACAACAGTCTCAGGAGGTTTCGAGTTGTATAGTGGGTGAAAGAAAATGACCTACAACACAGTTGTCTTCAAAGAAGGACGCTACACCCTTATTGAAGAAATCCTTCTTGTGTGGATGACTACTTTGTATTTACCAAACGGCGAAGGCTCAGTCATCTCAATCTTGCTGATTGCAATGACCATCTTGAGTTAGAACTTCCAAAGGCTTGGAAACACCTAGGGCAGTTCATACACTG